ATCTATCATTGTTGGAAATTGAGTTTGTTATTTGAATAATCAAGCAATCATTATTTCAACCGCATATGCCTTTGTTATCATTGCTTTTGTACTATGTTTTATTTGGACCAATTTCATCCGATACTGATAAGTAATTTGCTTTCAGGGCACATCCAGAGTTCTCTAAGTCCTCATTGTTTCGTATAGATAGTATTTGAGCTGGATAGCTAGTGGTCCGATTTAGGAGGAATGTGGAACTTCTCTTCAATTACAATTGTTGGGGAGTTATCACATTTTTCTTGAATTGGTGTTTTCTTTGGTTCCTTTTCAGTAAAGACTTGTAGACATGTAATCTGAAGATGTTGTGTCCCCACTTGTTTTTAAGTGCTGTGGGTTTGGAGGAAAATGTTTTTTTTTTCATGTAAAAAATATTTCTATATCTTTTTGTGGTGTTTGGTTGATTATGAAAGAAGGTGACATATGGAAGTCATACAAGGTGTAGGATGGTGTATAGCTTGTGTTTGTGTGATATCTTCGAGTACTAAATGTTGAAGACGCTTAAGGGTTAATTGAGACAAGTGATATCATGTAAGAGTTGAGTTAGCTTTGGGAAGGAAATGGAATGTCATTTGATGTTGTAAGCACTTGACGAGATTTTATCTGTTCCCTCCCTCTCCTAGTGGGAAAGTAAAACGGGACGTAGTGGAAACTTTGGTAGCAGTCTGTAATGAGAACGTCAAATAGGTTTCAGAAATATGCTTTTTGGGGCTTACTTGAAATTAGATTAAAGGGAGAACTGTTTAGCTAGGTTTGTGCAATTTGAGAATTATTTTTTTCAGGAATATCTGTTGGGTGTTGGGAGTCTATCACATGAAACACAAGAGGTAAATCTAATCAACACATTGAGCTTCTGTTGCCTCCTTTAGCTGCTTCCTTCCTTGCTGCCCTTCTCAAAACTTAAGTTTTGATGGATGCATCCTCTCTTCTTTCCCTACTGTCATGAGCACCTTTGACCCCTGTTCTAGTTTTTCTTCCGTTTCCTTTTCTAATGTCCTCCCCTCTACGATTGTCTATGTTTCAAATTGGCGGCGAACCCCTACTTTCAACCGATTTAGAAGTTTCAAGTCTTCTCCTTTTTCCTTTTTTTACAGGAGAAAACTCCATATTACAGCAGATAATATTGGTGTTAATATCACCCAATTAAACATTCTGTTCAAAATTAACCACAACTGATACTTTTATCACACAAATAATGTGCTATTACGTGCCCACTTGTGCCTGAAAGACTTTAATTGCAAAAAACTGGCTTCATCTTTGGTATCACTTAATATCTACCCCAAATAGCACTAGTTGATAAGGTTTTGAAAGGGGATTAGCTTATTTTCGTTCTTTTTCCATAACCCGTTTGGGTATGAGTAGTTTGACGTTGTTTTATGCATTTTCTTCTTTTATCTTAAAGCACCAGATCATCTCTTAGTACGAACTAGAAATCATGTAGTGTCTGTTTCTTTGTTTGCTGTGTTGAACCATTGAAGAGGATGATTCAGGTGTGTCAATAGGTAATAGTGAGATAGGTTTGTCAAAATGAGGTTTATTATTCTAGTCAGCTTCTCTAATTTATTAAGAACTGTATAGAAAGTAAAGTTTGTTTTGCTTTCTTCTGATCGCACTAAACAAACATACAAGGGCAGATAAATGCTTTACTAGAGGGAAGTATAGTAATCCGTCCCCTTAGAAAAAGAGCGCAAGCTTTAAATAGCACAAATGGAGAAAAAGTACAAATATGAATTTTTAGTCCAAGACTTGAGATAATAAGCATGAATAACAAATATATGGCCAAAGAAGTTGAAAAAAATATATGGTAGAGTCAAAAGTGATATATCAATTGTTTAGTGTGACCGAGGCGCTTATTGGTAAGGAAAATATGTCTTAGAGCCTTAATGATGCTGAAGTGCACATCAAGCAATGCAACACGCTTAGCATATTTTGCGTCTCGCTTCAGTGCTTATGTGCGTCTTTGACAACACTGGGTCAGTTAAAAACAAATTATCTCGATGTATTTTTATAAACATGCAACTTTTCCTTATAAAAACATTTCATCAATGTTAACATTATAGTTGACATGGCAACTATTCGTTCTGATCAGATTTATAATTTGTTTTACTTAAGCTCAGATCAAGTTGACAGTGTTCTTTTGGGTAGAAAGGAACAGGAAAACTGAATTGGGAACTCTTAAAACTAATGGAACGATAGTAAGTTTTTTTTTTGATGAAATGAGGCATTTCATTGCTGGTATCAATAAAATTCAGAGTTACGAAAACAAGTAGATGATAGCTTCAGTAAAAAAAAACTAATAAATGGTAAAAGTTCTGTTTCATGCTAACAGGGTACATAGCTAGAATTGTCATATTTCAAAATGGTTGCGTCTTGATCTCTTTGTCTATGTAACTATGTAAATATAGTTATGTCCTTTAACTTCTGTTGATACTCGTCTAGATTAAAGTAGCCATTGAGATCTTTAAGGTACTTGAGAGTTATAAATTACAATTGGTTTGAGATAATGAACATATGAGAACCATGATAGAGTCGTTGTGATGGGATTGTGGTGTTATTTAATTTGTATAACTTGTCTGAAAAATTGCCATGCTATTTTCATTCTATAGCTAGTTTCTAGGAGATGATGAAAAAAGAGCAAACCAGCTGAAAGTATGTCTAGAATCCATGCTTGGTGGTGTTCTTAGGTTGAGGCAAGCAATGCAATAAACTAGGAACATTCACAGAATGTTGTGAGTGGTTTTAGCCCTCCAAGCCGTAAAATCTATTGTCCTTTTAGTTGTGTAAATGAGCTAAGCCAATCCTAACATTAGTCGGGTTCAGCTCACTTGGTGCATTAAGAGATGAGCTGAAGGTTGAGTCTAATCAAGCCCGAGCGCAAGACAGTCGGTTCAGTTTCTTTTTTTGGTTGATAACGGTGGTGTGAATCGTGTGATGTCGGGGCCAGCTTTCATGCACCTCGGTGTTGGGTCTGAGCTAAATATCTGCTCTGCAGGATGGTTAGCTTTTATCACAAACATTAATAACTATTACCCAAACTAGAAATGTTAAAAATAATGAAGACAACCTTAACAAAAATAATTATACGACTCTCATGTTTGGAAATGAGTTCTGCAAAGTGTTAACATATCCTTAAATCTTTAAACAATTGAAAAAATAGAAATAAATGCAATGCATCTGATGCTGAAATAAGACTCTGGATTTGTTGCATTTGTCTAATATCTGAGTCCATGAGAGATATAAAGGATGCTGGAGATAAGTAGGAGGGTTGTTTTATTACTAGCAATATATCTGTGCTAATTGTGCATCTGATTTTGATCTTAGGCCAATTAATGAGATAACTTTGGGATATTCCATAAAGTGAAGCTTATCTGCATTTTATAGCGACACCTTTTCATACATTTAATCCCCTGTTTAGTATTTGAATGGTCAAAGGATGACTAATTGTGCATAGAAATTATCTTTGCAGTTCCGGTAACAAAGAAAAAAAAGTGTTAGCTGCTGTAGCACCCCACAAAATGGAAAGAAGTAGTTTTTTTTTAATCTTTTCAAAACTGCTGTTTCTTTTATCGTCTTGGAGATATCAATTTGTTAACTGTGTGTTGATATTATCATATACAAATTCTAACTATTTGAACTCCCTCTCTACCAGGCTTTGTTCTTGTGGCGAAGACTCCACTTGCTGTCAATAATGGTAGCTGATGATGTTTTGCAGTGTCAGCCAAGTGTATTGCATATGTACTCCGTTTTTTAAAAATGTTGAGATATATATTCTTGGAGCAATTTCCTTTGGTTTTAGAGTGATAAGTTTCACCAGTCGAATAATTTTTTTTTTCATTTAGCTTATGCGGATTGTTCCATGTCTTGTGCTTGAAAGAGTGAAAGTTAGTCGAACGTCGCATCTGATTAGCTATAGTCTGATTTTGATTTCCCAAAGGTAATTGTGTAGCAGCTTTGTCTGATATCATACCATGGAGTTCAATAAGTAATGAAATTTCAATTTTAGGTTTGGCTACTGAAATTGGTCATATTCTACTGGACTTTTTTACCACAGGAATCGACTGAATACTTCCTCCTGGCAGGAACATTTTTCAAGATTGAATCCTAACTTTGTCATCATTAGTTTCCAACTAAAAAATAGAGTTTAGGGTTGAAATGAAACAGGATTAAGTTAGTCATTTTTGTAACCAATAAATTGAACAAATAAATGGTATAAAGTACCTTTCATAATAACACTAAAATTTGCACTAAAAAGTAATTCATCCAATTACAATAACAACAAATCTATTGAAATCAATTATGTGGGGGTTTGAAGGTAGAATGTTCATTATTTTTATCAATATCTATCCGAGATAGAAAATCGAAAGATTTTCGTTTTAAGCAGATAAAAGTATTAACAAAATAAAAAGCACACCCACAAGGTAAAAACAATTGAGTCAAAATGTTAAAATGAGAACAAACTCTTCTCTTAAATAAATAAATAAACACTAGAATAATATGTATCAAGACATTTCCTTTTAATATTGATATTCGATAACATATTCTACAATTGTTTGATCTGATAGTATTTACTTTGTAATGTATTTAGGATGATTAAAAATATATATTCACATTTTAAATGGTAATAATATTCAGGTATATGAAAAATATCAACTCGTTGTTGTATGTTACTAGTTTAAGTTAAATAAAATAATATTTTAAAATTTTAAAATATATAAAATACTGATTAATAAATTTATAACTAAATATTTAAATTTTGAACCATAAACTGGAGATGCTAAAATTTATAGGATAACATCAAAAACACATTATCTTTGGATTTTTTGGTAAATAGACTCGGCTTATCAAAAAAATAAAATAAAAATATATGTTATAATTATAAATTTGCAAAAAGTTACTATATTTGAGAGTATTAACTAGTAAATAAATACGTGTATTATTTTATTTCCGCGTCCACGCGTTTTGGAAAGCTATAAAACAGAGACCACCTGATCCGCTGAAAATTTCTTACGCTACCATCTAGAGTACGCCATCGGAATGATCTCCGATCAAAACCCTAAACCCCCGTATCAGTTATGCCGCCGATCTAGCTGCTTCTTCCATACGTGAAAAAGAGTAACTCAGAGAACTTGATGCAGTCAGGTTTTCTTAAATTTCTCGCATGTATTCTTTTATAGAAAAATCAAGAACTCTTAAGTTACATTCATATAAAAATAGAAACTGTAGTTTTCTTGAATATATTGGCATTGCAAATATCAAGGAATTTCAAGAAATTAGGTTGTTATTCTCGCAGTGTATGTTAAGTATGTTAAGGATGTTCAAGAATTGAATGGAATGTTGTGGAGTTGTTCTTGAACTCAAAAACAAAAATTAAGTAGTTTAATTATAGGAGTTTGTGATTTGTAGTAATTTGAATGAAGACACTCAATTGGACAGACTTTCAGAAAGGTTTGTGTAATGCAAGAGAATAGAGAATATATGGTTCATCTTTTCTGATTTTGTTAAAACAAAAATTAAGTAGTTTAATTATACGAGTTTGTGATTTGTAGTAATTTGAATGAAGACACTCAATTGGACAGACTTTCATGAAGGTTTGTGTAATGTAAGAGAATAGAGAATATATGGTTCATCTTTTCTGATTTTGTTAAAACAAAAATTAAGTAGTTTAATTATACGAGTGTGTGATTTGTAGTAATTTGAATGAAGACACTCAATTGGACAGACTTTCAGAAAGGTTTGTGTAATGCAAGAGAATAGAGAATATATGGTTCATCTTTTCTGATTTTGTTAAAACAAAAATTAAGTAGTTTAATTATACGAGTTTGTGATTTGTAGTAATTTGAATGAAGACACTCAATTGGACAGACTTTCATGAAGGTTTGTGTAATGTAAGAGAATAGAGAATATATGGTTCATCTTTTCTGATTTTGTTAAAACAAAAATTAAGTAGTTTAATTATACGAGTGTGTGATTTGTAGTAATTTGAATGAAGACACTCAATTGGACAGACTTTCATAAAGGTTTGTTGTAATGTAAGAGAATAGAGAATATATGGTTCATTTTTTCTGATTTTGTTAAAACAAAAATTAAGTAGTTTAATTATATGAGGTTGTGATTTGTAGTAATTTGAATGAAGACACCCAATTGGACAGACTTTCATAAAGGTTTGTCTAATGTAAGAGAATAAAGAATATATGGTTCATCTTTTCTGATTTTGTTAAAACAAAAATTAAGTAGTTTAACTATACGAGTTTGTTATTTGTAGTAATTTGAATGAAGACACCCAATTGGACAGACTTTCATAAAGGTTTGTGTAATGTAAGAGAATAGAGATTATATGGTTCATCTTTTCTGATTTTGTTAAAACAAAAATTGAGTAGTTTAATTATACGAGTTTGTGATTTGTAGTAATTTGAATGAAGACACCCAATTGGACAGACTTTCATGAAGGTTTGTGTAATGTAAGAGAATAGAGAAAATATGTTTCATCTTTTCTGATTTTGTGAATGTTTTGTTGGCTTGCTCAAAAAGCAGGGACCAGTGAGCTCTTTAATGAATTCTTTATGTTCTTTTGTTAACTTCTTTTGATGACGAGGGCATATGCTTAATATGAAAATTAATACTATTGTTTCTTTTCTTTAGGTTGATACTCCATTCTAGACTAATCTTCTTATGTTTGTTTGTTTATAAGCTGTGTAATCGTACTTTGAACTTGAACCAACTTTCCACCAGATATCTGCTGCTATGTGACTGTTTCTACATCTTCTGTTTATGCTTCCTTTTTGTCCGGTCATTTTATCATGGTTTCGTATGCTCGCTTTACACCAGCTACACCAAAATACAACCATTAAGATGAATTGCATACTTCCCCAGCAAGTTTTGGCTTTAAAGGAGAGGCTCAGTGGCGTTCCTTTGTTGGAAATCGTCACTAAAACTCACCGGAAGCCAAATGGATATCGCAGGTTTTTCAGGTAAAGTTCTTATGGTTTTTAGTTCATAGCATCCATTAGAATAGGTGTAAAACTACTAACTTGGTCTTTAATCTTGCCATTGCATATGGGAGGGCAAGTGTTTGTACCTTGGAATTGAAGATCGTAGACAAAATGTTGGTGCAACAGGTAATTCTGTATAACCCATTCAAAGGAAGAAAATGCATTCCAAGTACTTCAAGTTTTCTCACAATTGAAACAAATAAAATATATTGATTTATATACTTTGTACTTTTAAAGTTGTACGCTGTCCTTCCTGATCTTTTGGTTTGCATGTATAGTCTTGGAAGTCCAAAGAGGATCTTGCATTCTCTGCAAGAGTCTTGTCTAAGAACCACCCTTGTGCATCCGAGTGTCTCCCTCAAAATTGTTGATATTGAAAGGTCCGTCTTTGTATACCAGCTAACTTCAGGATATTTCCTGTCTAGTTTCTTAGATTTTGTAAGTTTGTGTGCAGTGAGGATGTCTTAGTTTGCACGTGTGCTTCACCTTTTCCGTTGCCGCTATTGTATAGTGGGTTTGACATTCTTCTTAGTTCCCTTGACAAATTGAATGCAAGTGATGGTTCATTCAAGCTCTCAAGATACGTCTCAGGTCCTGATGTTTTCACAGTGTAGGTATACAGTCCCCAATTGATGGATAAAGAGATGCAATAAGTCTTCTTTTCTACACCCTACTCAATCTTATGTACTCTTGTGACGTCTGACGGAGTCATCTGTTAATAAGGGGCGGATGTTGTATTATTCCTGGAGGATTTGGTGAGAGAGATGTGGAGGGTAAAATTCTTGCTGCCAAATATGTCCGTGAAAACAGGATTCCTTACTTGGGCATATGTCTAGGCATGCAAATTGCAGTTATCGAGTATGCTAGATCCATTCTTGGGTTGCAAGATGCGAACAGTACAGAGTTTGATCCCAACACTCACAACCTTTGGATAATTTTTATGCCGGAAGTTAAGTTCTGATATTTCCTCTTCATCATGAACTTCCCTCATGATCTTCATATGTTTGAGGTCTCATTTTAGTAGCAGATATATTAATCATATATTATTCTATTGACCAAGTTCACAGGGTTCAAAATCGCATATGGGTGTACCATGCGTCTTGGATCAAGAAGAACGTATTTTAGAGTCAAAGATTCTAAATCTGTAAAACTATCAGTACTTCCTTTCCTCCAACCTCACTGCATTGGCTGTATCTTGATCTGTAGCCATTTTGGAGGACTTCTCCTATTGATATTACCAAGTGCCTAAACTATATTGTTTCTCAGATGTCGCAACCGGAGCTTTGTTGATGAAAGGCACCGTCATAGATATGAGGTTCAGCACTTTTTTTTCTTTAAATTTGGAATTGTGGTGTAACTACTGTGCATCTAGGTGGACAAGTTTAATAATTATATGTGGACCATAAGATGTGATGTCTTTAGTAAGGGATGCATGCCAAAAATTTATCCTGTGCTATGTAGGTGAATCTTGATATGGTGCAGAAATTTGAAGATGCTTGTCTTTCTTTCCCTGGCAAAGATGAAAGTGATCGGTACATGGAGGTGAGCCTTTTATATAATTGAAATTATGAAGTCATGATAGATATTCGTAGTGTTGTTGTTGATTTTATTATAATTATGAAGCCATTGAATGGGAAGATGTGGAGTTTTTCTTGTTGAAGGCCCCACTCACACTACACTAAAAAAAACAAGTAGTTTAATTATAAGATTGTGATTTGTAGTATTTTGACACTCGATGGGACAGGCTTTCCTGTACACCCTCAGTGGTCATTTTCTTTTACATGGTTTTGACCTTTCGATTTTGATTGTTCCTTAAAACTTGAAAATTGTGTCAAGTAAGAGAATGGGGAAGTATATGTTTTCTGATTTTGTTAACGCTTTGAGGATCAACGGAGGTGGGCTGCTGAGAAATATGTCAAGTCGTTCTTTAATGCAATTTTAATCGCTTAGAGTAGTTACACAGAAGGCAGTGATCGGTGAGGCTTTTCAATGAATCCTTATGTTCCTTGGTTTGCTACTTCTGATTACGATTATATGCTTGTTATTCTTATAAGTAGATTGCTCCTAGTTTGAACTTAACCCAGTTTCTATCAGGTAATGTTGCAATAGGAATTGGGACCTGCTATGTTAAGGTGGATGACAATGGTAAGTGTTAGTTTCTTTGACATTGTTCTAATGCATTTAATGTGCTGAAAGTTCTGCTCATTATATGACTTAATCATCTGTAGCTGTACCTTCTTTTGAAGGATCATTTGAGGTTGTACTTTCTTTTGAAGGATCTCGTGTTTCACGAGATGAACGAGTGCTGATGGAAAAAATTTGGTGATCTTTTTGCAAAATGTTGAACTGACATCATCTTTTCTATTGTATTGATACTGCTGTACATAATTTCTTTTGCGTGACAACTATGATGTTCATAATTGAATGCTTGTGGTAGTCTATAGGATTGCATACATTACTCAACTAATAGTTTGTTTGATAGTTTGTGTTCATTAGTATTCTTTCACAGATGTTGTTTTATTTATTGTTTGCGGTTTTATTTGTAATTGGGCAAACTTGTATGGCTGTACACCACAAAATTTTGATGCTTACACTTTGGTTTTACTTTATTGTATGGCGTTCATGAACATTGTTTCCTGGTTCTTCATTTGCAATAAAATACTTTCTATACCTGTACGGCCTGCCCAAAAAAAAAGGGGGGGACGGGGGATAAAATATAATTTTTGTTGACCACTTCTGTATGTAGAGAGATGTTTTGATTACTTAATCTAGCTGAAGTTGAGCTAGAACATACATATTCGTTTGTATGTATTATTTTCCCAGCTTATGGAGACAACATATAGGCCCGTTCTTTCATCTTGTATCATAGTTTCTTTTTGCCTGGCCATTTTAATTAAATAATGTTTTATATGCTTCCTTTACACCACCGACATCAAAATTCTGCCATTCAAATGTTATGCTTGCTTTCCCAGCATGTTTTGGCTTTAAAAGAGAGGTTTTGAGCTTTATTTCTAACCTTTTTTTGTTGGAAATTGTTACTAAAACCCATGGGATTCCAAATGGATATCGAAAGGTTTTAAAGGTAAAGTTCTTCTGAGATTTAGTTGGTAGTATCCATTAGGATAGGTATAAAACTACTAATCTGGTCTTTGTTTTTTCCATTGTTTACCGTATGACAAGTGTTTGTACCTTGGAATCAATTATTGTAGATAAGAAACTCTCAAGAATTATTTGATACCATGAGCTGTGCACTCCTCTAGGGTGGATGGGGACTCACATAAATGGATTGATGCTTGAAATCGAGGTAAAACAGATAAGTCTTACAAGGAAGAAGAAGTCATACAACTCTTCCATTTTACCATGGCAAGAAGTTCTTTGCCACGAGTGAGTCTTCAAGAAAGGCAGAAGGAAATAATAATATTAAGACAGTTCATGATGTGTTACTCATGCCAGGTAATTTGTCTTTTGTGCTTGTTTGTGTTAATAATCAATTATGACAGGAAGTGTGTGCAACTAATTAATGTTCTTTTCGATCATGCAGAAACTAGAACTGTAAGGAGACTGCATCATTCTACAGAAGCTATCTGGCTGGAGCTTCCACGACAGTCATGAGTCATCCCATCAATGTGATTAATCTTCAACCCATGACAGTGTATTTTCTGATGGAAGGTAATGTTATCAAATTTCTTGGGAGGGTTAGGTTCTTTCTGATATTAATTACTCACACGACCTGATGTTTCTCCCTTCAGGCCAAGTGTGAAAATGGAACCTGTCAACATCTGAAATAACAATTACAAGCTCAAGGGGAGTGCTCAAGTACGCACAATGGGGAGTCAAAAGAAGGTAGATCATTCTTGCCTTTTGTTCCTGACCTGAATAGGTGCTGAATTTTTTTAGTGCATGTTTCAGTCATACAGCTATTCCATTTTACCATGGCAAGAAGTTTCTTAGATTCTGGGACAAAATGCAGGGACTTCTGTCCAGTGATTAAATATGCTAACACTGTTAATCTTTGGTATTATTCTAGAGACTCGAGAGCTTTTGAGGATACTTTTTTATGCATCCTATGTTTCAAATGGTATCAGCTTACCTCTTTCAGTTTTTAGAGTTACTGAGTTAGTATCTTTTCTCTTCTTTGATGTAATAAAGAGAGAAATATATTAATGACATGGATCTTAGAGGAAGTTGCTTCGTTTGAACACTTTAAATCTACTTTAACGTTCTAACAGTTTTAATAAATACAAGAAATTGTTAATTAGAATGTGGGAGGATTAAGGAAAAGCGAGAATAGGCTCTGAAGAAGTGACAATTTTCATATTTTTCTTGACGAGCGGAGGAAGTGGGAGCACATGTAAACAGAAGACTGTGTTTAGTTCTTGGTTTTTGATTGCAGACCATGGAGTAGATCAAACCTGAGAACTGTTGCACTTTTTAGGATTACTGGATCTTGTTTCACTGATTACTTTGTCTGATAATGCAGATATTTTGCTATGAACTGGATTAGGAAGCTATCAATGGCATGTTATTTATTTGTTAGAAATGCTGCTCATCCCAGTTCAACATTTCTACTTTGTGTTCCATATGTAGGTTAAGAGAGGAGTAGTTTGAATTATTATCTCAAAAATGAAAATAAAAAGAAGTTTGAATGTTGGTATATACCGTCCTTAAGCTGACTTTTCTAAATGATGCTTCACAATCAAGCTAGAAAAAGACTAAGCAAGTGATGTCCTAATGAAATGGTGCACTGAAGAGTGCACTGGCAGGAGTGAGATTCGATCTTCACAGATTATTCGGTGGGGATGTGCTTCTGAAAAGCATGATCCTGAGTCCAGATTCCTCTGTCAAATCATACGTTCAAGTCTGTCAATTGATTTCTCTCTTGCTCATTGACAGTTGGTGTGAACTGGAAATCCAGAAACGCTGCGCACACCCATTCATCTAATGTTTTTCCTAAGGATGGTGATTTCCTGGATAATAAATTCAGTGCTTCAGGTAGCTAGCTCCAGTTGTAGATCAGACTTCCTGTTAATTTCCAGACGGGAGGAATCTTTAACAATTGTAGCTGGCAGATCAACAGAGAATGTCTCATTTAAGGAATCTCTTGTACTTGATAACAGTTCAAATGTAAAGCATGAGAGAAGGAAACCATTTATGCAGAGCGGTTCTTTGCGCAGAAGCCTCACACATGATGAATCATCTTTTGATAGTTATGAAGATATTAAGTTTGAAAAAAGTAAATACAGAACCAAACAAAATCACCTATAATATGATTTTAGTGTTGAATTTGAAGTAGCTGAGGATGTTAATCAGGTCTTAAATCATAGGTCTCTTTCAGGTAAGGAAATATGATTTGAGAAGTTTTGCTGGGGCAAAACTAAGAGCAAGGCATTGCAGAGTCAAAATAGATTCAGAAAAGTCTGCATTAACCAGGACATTCTAGAAGAATACGATCATCGGATGGACTTCTTTGAACAGACTGCTGAAATGTATGATTCCGTCCTGCCATATTTTAGTCCAGAACCGCGTCTCTTCTGTCACCAGATATCGGGACCTGGTTTCGAGATGTTAATCCTTACATTGCTGAAAATGGGATTGAAACTTCTGTTGAACATGAAGTTGGTCTCACGTATATTTTTAGAAACATGGAACATAATTTCGTTGTTCCTGCCATAAATAATTTGAGAAAAGACGACTGCTTGTTCCCAAATCCTGCAAAATTTGATCTTGATTTGTATGCTTGTTCTAAAGAGGATATGGGGCAGTATAGGGGCTCTTGATGCGTGGGTTGTTTATAGTTCAGGTCCTTCTGAATTCTATTATGAAGGAGATGATTTGTCACTTTTACATTCTCATGGTGTAGATAACCTTAATAATTATTTGACACCACGAGCTATGCTCTCCTCTAGGGTGGATGGAACTCGGGTAAATGGATTGATACGGGAAATCAAGGTAAAACAGATGAGCTTATAGGATGAAGAGGATCAGAAGAAGTCATTCAGCTCATCCATTTTACCAAAGCATGGAGAAGTTTTTTGCCACAAATGAGTCTTCAAGAAAAGCAGCAGTAAATAACATATATTGTGACTGTTCGTGATGTGCCACTTATGCCAGGTAATTTGTCATTGAGTGCTTGTTTGTATTAATAATCAATGATGAAAGAAAATCTGGGCAACTAATTAATGTTCTTCTCTATCGTGCAGAAACTACAGCGATAAGGAGAGTGCAGCATTCTGCAGAAGCTATCTGCTCGGAGCTTCCACATCTATGTAATCAATCTTCACCCAAGTTGTGGTGACTGTGTATTCTCTGATGAAAGGTAGGTCATGTTATCAGCTTTGTTGGAAGGGTAAGGTATCTTTCTGATATTCTCTCCATCAAATAAGTTAGCAACTCACATAACCTGATGTCTCTTTCTTCAGGCCAAGTATGAAAATGAAACTAGCTAACATCTGGAATAACAAATTACAAGCTCAAAGGGGAGTGTACAAGTACACTCAATGGGGATTCAAAAGAAGGTAAACGATTCTCGCCATTTCCTGACCTGAATAACAGCTGAATTTTTCTAGTGCATGTTTTTCAGTTAATTAGCTTCATTTCTTCTTCTTTTTTGGGTAATAACTGTGAACTACTACCATTACTCCAACATGAAAACTTCAAATTTACAACCTAAAGAGCACCTATGGTCCCAACCACCTCTAAGAAGAGGTTTAGGACTATCCAGGTCTCAAACAAAACTGTTCCAGGAAAAAAAACCATAAGCTATTGCCAAATACAAACAAATTTATTCAGTTGATCTAAACTATTTGCTTTCTAGTTAATCTTCTCAGCAGATTCTGACACCACGCGGTTCCCCTTGTGTTCTGTAGAGTGGTATTCGAGCTCGCTTCTTTCTGTATTTGTACAATTGCACAACTTGTACTCACATCTATGCTTCGAAAAATCTTCCAATTCCTAGCTTTCCATGTGTGATGGATCATTGCCCCTCATACTGCCGCCAAAACTTCCTTTTGTATTTGCTTCCATTTCCTTCGTTTCAGCCATTTCAGACTTTGGGGCATCCTTCTAAATCATTTGGACCTCTGTCCAGTTTGCCAGACCATGTCAAACTGCAGTAATCCATTGACATTCGGAGAATAGGTGTTGAGGAGTTTCTATCATGCCTGCCAAACAGAGACAACACTTTGAGGAAATATCTGTGTTGGAACTTCATTTGATTGTTTGTTTAAGAGAGGAATTCCATATTATTAATGACTGCAGTATCTTTTCATTCGTTTAGGAATAATTTGGACCTGGAGCACAGTGCAAATAAATGCATGGAGCAACTCTCTATCTCTCTTCCACACACACACATGAAAAATAGTAAAACGGAACATATTGTATAGATTGAGGGTTTAAAGCCTTTCAAGTGTCGTTTGATCATTTTATGTTCTAATAGGGTTAATTAAGACAAGTGAATTACGAGTTGTAAATTTCTAAAGGTTTGCTCTTTGAATTATAAGGCTGAATAGGTTTTCAATTTAATTTGGAAAACTATTCACGACATCATTCATGTTTTAGGAAATACTTCACTATCTAACAATATTCCCTTGCACGTGTTTTGTAAGAAAATGATTGGTTCTTTTTTTCTTTTTTGGTAATGCAGGTTCTGTGTAGCTGGGGTGTTGGGGCATCTCCAATCCAAACACCTAATTTTACACCAAATTTGGTGTTAACCAAATTTACTGTAATCAACTCCAACCTACTGCATCGAAAAATAATTTATTTTCTCTCATTATTATTATTATTATTTTTTATTTCATTTATATTTTTTTATTTCATAAAACATTTTCTTTCTATGGTTCTCCTTTTATAATCGTTTAATATAAAATTATTTTGTATCATAATTTTTTAAATATATAAATTGCTAGCAAATATTATACAGTATACATAATAATGGATTATACAAATAAAAGTAAAATTATTAATGAAATATAATTAGATAAACATTATATAATTGAAGATTTTATTTTAAATTATACATAAACATTAACTACGATGCTCCCATAAATGTTTTATTAATGCATTACATAATTTAAAATGAGCTTTTTGTCCTCCATTTTTTTTTATATCGAGCTAAAAATTATTGAAATTGATAATTTTCATCTATTGTCATTTCTACAGTCGGTGCTGGACCTTTCGATACATCTTGAATTGATGCATTAAGATCACGCACATTCTCAATTGTATTATTTTTTTAAAAATTTATATGTTTGTATTTTTATTAACACAAATTTAATTTTTTTAAAAAGTCATATAAAGAAAAATTAATTTATAAAAAGCTAAATTTTATATCTAAATTAATATTATAAAAATATTCCACTAAAAATGATTAAATATACAAAAAATTTAATTAAAACATACAATTTATATAATGTTTAATTAAATGTTTGTGTAGTGAAATAATATTATAATATTTAAAAAGTTATTTGGTGTGAAAATTAGTGCAGGTTAGAGCTTAAAACACCAATTTTCACACTAAATATAATAATTAGTGTAAGATTTGGTGTTGGGTTAGAGATAAGAGTATCGGGAGTGGTATATTCCCATAGCCTTGAGATCTTTCTTTTGCTATTCTCCAGCAGCTCTAGGAGTTCCCGTTCTCGCTTTTCTTGATCTTCCAAGCTTGAAGCTCGCCTGCTTTGGTCTTAGTCTAGCTAATGTGGAACTGTCAAAATTTCTACAACAGTGTAGTCCATTGACACTTACAAGTACTCATATTTCACCTCATTGAATTAACTCTAATCTTTCTCGTGTGGAATCTGGCTTATGTTCTTGCTTAATTGTCGTGTCATGTCTCTGACTAAACTTCCCTTTTTTTTTTTGTTACTTTATTGTTTTAATTAACTTCGATTTATTGCCCATATGTAGCTATTTTAGTAGTTTATTGTAGAGATTTTTTTATATGTGTGCTTTTATGGAGTTTACATTGCAATTATATTTCTTTTGAGTTTTGATAAATGTCTATTGTTAATTGCAAAAAGATATAGACTCACTTAATCTTGAATACAGATCTGTGTATCAATTAGATTACTCACATATCTACTATGTTTATCTCTTTATAGAAACAAGTTTTTGTTGGTATTTCGTCAACGCATCGCTTAGATTAGTTTCTATGTGGAAATAGTTATTTGAAAATCCAAAATGAAATGAGCAGGCACTTCTATTTATCTCGTAATGTTAACATACAACTTTCAAATCTCTATAATTTATTTTTCACTTTTTAATATTTATGGATGCTATTATGTTTGGTGTTAATTCAATTTTATTACACAAAAGTCTTATTTGTATAGATATTCTTGTGACTTGGACATTTTCTTTTACAGTACAATGTCGTTGATAATTAAATGAGATGTTAATTGATAATTAGTAATTGTATAGAGCAACTAAAGTTATGAAAGTTTTGGTCTATTATTTATTTGAATTTAAGGCTAATCTTTTCATGCTTATGTCTTTTCTCATCCTCCTTCAATGTTATTATGCAATTTTTTTAATGATTTTAGAATCTCGTACTTTGTGAATTATATTTTGTTATTTATATATTAAGATATTTTTTTGTGCCATTATATCTACTTTTCGGTGTATTTGAGATAATTAAGAATTTATTTTAACATTTAAAATAATTGTATTGTTACTTTGCTATGTACAAGTCATGTTGACTTTGTGGCAGTTAAATGAAAATAACATGGATATTTTCTAGTTTAAGTGAAACAAAGTAATATGAATATGTTAAAAGTTTAAAATAAGATTTATGGTCATGAGGGATGGATGTATTTAATTTTTGCTGTTTAGGATTAAAATTTTGAATTATCAATTTTGTAATCTAAATAGATCTGTGAATATTGCATCTTTCTTCTTGCGATAGAAGTTAAACTCAGCTCTGACAACTAATTATGTTCTTCCCGTCCATAGTGACTGCAAGTTTACTTTTTATTGTATTTGAAAAATGAAGTACTCGCAAACTTACTTTTTATTGTATTTTAAGGAGGAATAAGACCAAAAAAATGAGAATTAATGACGAGAAGAATATAGTTAGGGTCAATTTGGAAAGTCACTTGGTAATTGAAATTGGTGTAATTAATTACACTTACCTGTTTGGTTGCCACGTTGTAATTACGCTAAAATTATACACGTCGTGTTTGAATGTCAAAATGTTATAACACATGTTCTGTTTGTATGAATAAAGGCAATCACAAAATTATGATAAATTTTAAAAATAAGAATTAAAAATTTATACTAGACAAATAAGAAACTTTATAAATGACATTAAATTAAATAGTTAATATATATATTCTTTTTTGAAAATATATTAATGAATAAACATATTTTCTGTAACTAATATTATGAAAAAATAATTGATTTATATTTTTAAAATTAATATCTTTCAATTGAATTGATCGTAACAACTAAAAATATGAAGTTTTCACGAACATCGTGAAATGCATGTTTGATAAAAAGAATAATATATAAATAAAAATGTCATAAATTATTAAATGTTTGACAAAAATGTTATCTATCAAGTCTAATTAAAAAATATCGAGCAATGTAAATTCAATATCTACTAAACAAATGAAACTGAAAATATAACATAGCAAAATTTTGAACATAATACTCTTATAACAAATTTCAACATAGCAATAAATATGATTTATTCTTATTTTTCTTAATTAAGAAAACGTAAGTCTATAAATTCTGTTTTAATTAAAAACTAAAATACTAATAAAATCATACTAATGAGAATATAAACATGGCAGATAGAAATAGATAATACGAAAAGAATTACATAAATACACGTAAAGTAAAGTTGAAAATAAGAAGAAAATAAAATATACATAATAATATAAAATAATAAATAAACTTTTACAAATTTTTAGAATAATAATAATAATAATAAAAATTAAAATAATAGAAGCAAAGAAAATTAAAATAAAAAAATTAAAAAGTAATCAGGTGGTAATTACACCATGTAATATTGACAATCACCGCCTCTGCGGTTGAATTATAGAGTATAATCACCCCCTGCCAATTATCGCTAACCAAGTAATTAAATATCCTTCCAAACAGGACAAGACAATTTAATTACACCAAATCTAGATACCAATATATCCTTCCAAACATGTCCTAAGTTTTTGTTAAAATAGACTTACTATCACTGAACAAACTTGAAATTTAAATAATTTAAGTTAGTATGTGATAACAATTTTCATATTATAAATGGAATAGTTATTTTTTAATTGTTATTGTTATAATCAATGAAATATAATTTTTTAATTAAAAAATTTGAAAAATAAATAAACTAGTACTAAAATAAAATAAAATAAAATAAATATATTATTATTAACGCGTTTATTTTTCTCCGCGTATTCAAATGCTATAAATAAGAGCTCACTGCTCACTGCAGAACTTCTTCATACGCTAAACTCACCACCGTCGCAGAAGCGGAAGCTACCGGAGTATAGAACTCGCCACCGTCGCAGGACCGGAACTTCATACGCAACCGGATGAAACCCCTAAAACCGAATCAATTTTCCCGCCGTCAGCTTCCCATCATGTTAGAATTCTTGAAAAATCTGGTAACTCGATGGTACTGTAAGATTTTCTTATCCATATTTAAAATAATCAAAGAAATCATTCTTTATTTTGAGAAACTCAATAAATCTTTTCTTTCTTGAAAAATAAGAATTTGTTTTCACTTCTTTAAGGAGAGAGGGGATGAATGCCCGAGACTATTTCTGTCAAAGGGGTTTTCTTGGATTATTGCACAAGTGTTGTTGACTAGTTCTTATAAAACAGACTTGAATTTCTGTCAGGGGTTTCCTGAATGATTTCACCTGGGTTATTGATGAGTTGCTATAAAACAGACTCGATGCTGGTGCCACCAAGATGTACTAATTTACCCCTTCGAAGGTATTGAATGAAAAGTTGTGGAGTCGTTCTTGAAGCCCCACTCGCACGATTCTAGTTTAATTATAAGAAGTTAAGTATTTTTGAATGAAGACACTCAATTCGGCAAACTTCCGTAAATGCCCTCAGTGACCAATTTCCTTTAAATGGCCTGTAGACCTTTCGACTTTGATTGTTTCTTAAAAATGGAAAATTGTGCCAGGTAAGAGAATGGTGAATTATATGGTTCGTGTTTTCTGATTTTGTTAATGTTTTGAGGATCTGTAGAGGTGGGCTGCTGCTAAGAACATCATAGTTATGTGAGTAACGATGAAAGTTGTGCTTTCATGCAGTTTTTATCTTTTACACTATAGTTGCACCTGCAAATTTGTGTGTTGCTTGCAAAATAGGCAGTGACCAGAGAGGAGGCTCTTCTTTTGAATTCTTATGTTACTTCCTTTGCTACTTTGCACGATGAGAGCATATGTTTTGTATGAAAATTGATATTCTCAGACGCTCCTTTTTGGTATATCATAATTTTCTTTATTCACAACCCTTAGTTCTTTTTTCAATGAGATTTACTTCCTTAGAGGACTGTCCTTTCTATTTTCTTATGCTTATAACTTGTGTACTCCTAGTTTGAACTTTAACCCAGTTTCAACTTTCCACCCGGTGTACCTGCTATATATAGATGGATGACAATGGTAAGTTTTAGTTTCTTTGACATTGATTTAATGCATTTTGATGTGCAGAAAGTTCTACTCAATTTGTATTTTACTTTATCACTTCTTTTGAACGATCTGGTGTCTCATGCTGATGGGAGAAAGATATGGTAACGTTTTTGCAAAATGTTGGACTCACACCATCTCTTTTTTTTAATGATGCTGCTGTACATAATTTATTTTGCGTGTCAACTATGATGTTCATAACTTGGAATGGTTGTTTAGTCTATAGGATTACATGCATTACTCAACTAATAGGCTGGTTGATGGTTTGTGTACATTAGTATCTTTTTACAGATGTTCTTTTATTTATTGTTTTGTGGTTTTACTTGTAATTGGGAGAACTGGTATGGCTGTACACAACACAAAATATTGATGCTTACATTTTGTTTCTGCTTTTATTGTAAGATCTCCATGTACATCACTTTCCTGGTGCTTAATTTGACCATTTAATATGCTAAAACTGTTGATTTTTGGTAGTATTGTAGGGACTCAAGAAATTTCGAGGTTACTATTTTATGCATCCTTCGTTTCAAAAGTATCAACTTACCTCCTTCAGTTAAGAGTTACTGAGTTGATATCTTTTCTCTTCTTTGAAGTAATAAAAGGGAGAGATATATTAATGACATGGATCCTAGAGGAACTTGCTTCATTTGAACACTTCTTTTTGAAAATTAAAAATACTGCTTCATTTGAACACTTCTTTTTGAGAATTAAAAATACTGCTTCATTTGAATACTTTAAAGCTGCTTTAATGTTATAACAGACAACAGTTCTAAGAAATACAAGAAATTATTAATTAGAATGGGACGATTAAGGAAAAGCGAGAATAGGCTTTGAGGAAGTGACACAATTTTCATATTTTTCTTTAATGAGTGGAGGAAGTGGGAGCACACGTAAACAGAAGATGACGTTTAGTTCTTCTTAGTTTTCGACTGCAGACCATGACTAGATCAAACTTTAGAGCTGTTGCACTTTTTAGGATTACTGGATTTTGTTTCATTGATTACTTTGTCTGATAATGTAGACTCTTTGCTATGAACTGGATTAAGAAGATATTGACTTCAATGCCATGTTATTTAATTGTTAGAAATGCTGGTCATCACCAGCTCATAGTTTCTACTTTGTGTACCATATGTAGGTTAAGAGAGGAGTGATTTGAGTTATTATCTGAAAAAAGCAAAATAAAAAGAGGTGTGTGTGTGTGTGTGTGGGGGGGGGGTTCTTGTTTGTCTATTAGAACATGTCTCTTGTTCATTTTTGTTCCATGTTAGATGTGCAATCGAATTGCCAGAATATGTGCAAAACATTCAGTGTTATGCCATTGTGTAGTTCTATGACTTTCTTTTTTCGTAAGCTACTTTTGGAAAACCTAGATAAGAATATAGTTGTTGAAGTATCCTTCTCATCTATTGCTATCCCATCCCTGCACCATTTTTCAGATATATTATACCTGTGAATTATGATATCAGGAAAAAGAGGTGCAGGATCCAGAGTTGCTAAGCGACACTTGAACTTCCTTCCTGCAGCCAAGAAATTGACTGTAGAATGCACTGTCAGGAGTGCAATTCGATCTTCACAAATTATTCTGTGGGGAAGTGCTTCTGTAAAGCATGATCCTGAGTCCAGATTCCTCTGTCAGATCAAAAGTTCAAGTCAGTCAATACTCAAATGATTGCTCTCTTGCTCGATTGCACAATCGGTGTGAACTGGAAATCCAGAAACTCTGCACACCCCTTTAATCTAATGTTTTACCTATGGAGGATGATTGCCCGTATAACAAATTCAGCGCTTCAGCTAGCTCCAGTTATAAATCAGACTGCCTGTTAGTTCTATGACTTCATTTTCTCTTGAGCTACTTTTGGAAAGCCTGATAAAGTTGAAGTATCCTTCTCATCTATTACTATCCCATTCCCTGCTCCACTTTTCAGATATACCTGTGAATTATGAGATCAGGAAAAAGAGGTGCAGGACCCAGAGTTGCAAAGTGACACTTGAACTTCATTCCTTCAGCCAAAGAAATTGACCGGAGAGTGCACTGTCAGGAGTTAGATTCGATCTTCACGGATTATTCTGTGGGTAAGTACTTCTGAAAAGCAAGATCCTGAGTCCAGATTTCTCTGTCAGATCAAAAGTTCAAGTCAGTCAATTGATTGCTCTCTTGCTCATTGCACCGTCAGTGTGAACTGCAAATCCAGAAACTGTGCGCACCCCCCTTCATCTAATGTTTTACCTACGGAGGATGGTTTCCTGGATAACGAATTCAGTGCTTCAGCTAGCTCCAGTTACAAATCAGACTGCCTGTTAGATTCCGGATGAGAGGAATCTTGAGTAATTGTAGCTGGCAGATCAACAGAGAATGCCTCATTTAAGGGGACTCTTGAACTTTATAACAGCTCAAATGTGATGCATGAGAAAAGGAAACCATTTATGCTGAGCGGTTCTTTGCAAAGAAACCTGATACATGATGAATCATCTTTTGATAGTGATGAAGATATTAAGTTTGGAAAACGTAAATACAGAACTAAACAGAATCGCCTTGAATATGATTATAGTGTTGAATTTGAAATATATTTAAGAAGTTCTCCTGGAGGCAAGGAAATATATTTGAGAAGTTCTCCTGGTACAGAACTCAAAGCAAGGCATTGCAGAGGTCAAAATAGTTTCAGAAAAGTCTGCATTAACCAAGGACATTCTAGAAGAATACGATCATCGGATGGACTTCTTTGAACAGACTGCTGAAATGTATGATTCCATCCTGCCATATTTTAGTCCAGAACTGTGTCTCCTCTGCCATCAGATTCTTTGCTCATGACCAGGTTTCAACATGTTAATCCTGACATTGCTGAAAATGGGATCGGAACTTCTGTTGAACATGAACGTTGTATCACGTATACTTGTGGAAACATGGAACATAATTTCTTGGTTCCTGCCATAAATAATATGAGATGAGACGACTGCTTGTTGCCACATGCTGCAAAAAGAAATCTCGATTTTATGCTTGTTCTAAAGAGGATATGAGCATTATAGGGGAAGTTGATGCTTGGGATGTTTATAGTTCAGTTCCTTCTGCATTCTATTATGATGGAGATGATTTGTCACATATACATTCTCATGGTGAAGAAAACCTTAAAAATTATTTGACACGCGAGCTATGCTCTTCTCTAGGGTGGATAGGAACTCGGGTAAATGGATTGATGCTGGAAATCGAGGTAAAACAGATGGGTTACCGGAGCCGGAGTTCCAATTAGCAATAAGAGAAAAAGAAAAAAAGAAGTGAAATAAGCCTTAAAAGGCCAACCCCGAGCTTATAAGGAAGAAGATCAGAATAAGTCATTCAGGTCATTCATTTTACAAAAGCATGAAGTTCTTTGCCACGAATGAGTCTTCAAGAATGGTAGCAGTAACTAACAAATATTATGACTGTTCATGATGTGCCGCTCATGCCAGGTAATTTGTCCTTGAGTGCTTGTTTGTATTAATAATCAATGATGCAGAAAATGTGCCCAACTAATTAATGTTCTTCTCCGTCGTGCTGAAACTACATATGTAAGGAGACTGCAGCAGTCTGCAGAGGCTATCTGCTCGGAGCTTCCACATCAATATAATCAATCTTCCACCCAAAGTCGTGGTGATGGTGTATTCTATGATGAAAGTTAGGTCGTGTTATCAACTTTCTTGGAAGGGTTAGGTCTCTTTCTGATAAGGAATCAATTATGTTAGTAACTCACACGGCCTGATGTTTCTCTCTGCAGGCCAAGTGTGAAAATGAAACTAGTTAACATCTGGAACAACAAATTACAAGCTCAAGGAGAGTGTACAAGTACACACGATGGGGAGTCAATAGAAGGTAAACCATTAGGCCATTCCTGCCATTTGTTCCTGTCCTGAATAAGAGCTGAAATTTTTCTAGTGCATGTTTCAGTTAATTAGCTTCATTTCTTTCACCCAATTTTTCAAGATTATCTTAAACTACATTCTTATTAATCATGAAAGCATTATAGATTACCATGTCTCGTTACATGCTTCCTGGGCCGCATAAACTCTTTCAAATTCCATCTGATCTTGTAATAGAATTGTTATGCCTGACATTTTTTACTTACAATTTCAGAATTCGCACCAACAAAAACTCAAAAAGTTTCTTATTTCTCGGACAAAATTTCAGAAGTTGCACCAAAAATTATTTTGAGATATTTTTCTTTATTCCTTTGTCTTTGTTTTCATTTGTGTTGGAACAATGACCCTGATATGGATGGAGTGGAAAAGATTCAAAGGAATGAGGATAAATATAACACGGCTACTAATTTTGGGGTGCAGCATAATTGATGGATTGGTGATGTTACCATTCTATTTATTTATTGTTTATTTTCGTAGGTGCAATTATGCTTGGAGATGCGTTGTTACCTTCAGCATGTTCTTTCATTGTTGAGGAGTTGAGGCAGACTTCATTATGTTTAAAATGAGTGGAAAATTGCATTTCAGGAAATATCTGGTTTGGAACATCATTTGAAGGTATGCTTAAGAGAGGAATTCCATATAATTAATGACTGCAGTATATTTTCCTTTGTTTGTGTGCTTAACGGGAGAACCAACTACTTTTTCTCTTGTCAACTTGGGTGCTCTGCTTGAGCAGATTGCTAAGTTAGGTTCATTGAGTAGTGGTTCCTCCAAGGCATGGCATGAATAGCATCGTCATGAAATCAACCTAGAGCGCTTTGCAGAACGACTAAGATCATCCGTATCCTAGTGTCTAAAAGCTCTCGTGTGAGTATACATAAATTTGTTCTTCTTTCTACCTACCAAACAATAATTTGGCACTGCAGATATCTATTTTGCGATCATCATATTGAAGGAGAATTTGATCTGGAGCACAATGCATCTAAACAGATTCAACAAATAAATGCATGTACTAATCTAACTCTAGCCTTTGGTGGCAGCAACTCTCTTTCTCTCTTCCACACACATAAATGAAAAATTGTATACTGGAATAGATTGACAGTTTTTATGCAAGTACTGCTACTCAGTGTATACAATATAGGGAAATGCTATGATAATGAAAACAGTAATTTGATTGGAACATCATTCATTTTGCTAGTTGTTAATACAGGATTTAGGAAGTCACTTTAACTAACAGGAAATAAGAATTGGGATTAGGAATTATTGGGAATAAAGCTACACTGAGTTATAAATACACAAGGGCTGAGAGAGATTGCCCACCTCTGTTGCGAAGCGTGGTAGGCCTGCGCCGGGGGAGCATACCATAGGGAGGAAAGGGAGCGTGGACGGTGGAAGAGCCAGGGGAGGCTGGGTCATTTGACGGAAATGGAAGGCTTTTCCCTATTAGAGAAGGCCCTATGGAGTAAGGGGAAGTGGATGAATTCTTAGAATAAGAGGGAGCTGTTCTCAAACCTTTTACGACACTTTATAGCTTATTCTCTTCAAATATTCCTCTTTCTGAAGGATATATGTCTGTCTAAATGTGGAAAACAAAGCATGACAAACACTTCTTCTCTGGCTAGTTATTCCATTTTGAGGTATCAATATCAGAGTTTATATTAGTTATGTGGTCCATGTTAAAAAGCAAGAAGGATCTTTTAGGGTTTAAGCCTTTCCAGTGTCACTTGTGCGCATTGTCTTTTTATGTCCATTTTATGTTTTAATTGGGTTAATTATAAAAAGTGAATTACGAATTGTGACTTCTATCAGAAGAGCTTTTTTGTTGTAATACCATCAGTTACAAAACGATGCTAGAGGTTCTCTCTCTTTGAGTTATAAGGCCTTGAAGCTTGAATAAATTCCAACTTAATTTGGAAAACTATTCATGACATTATTCATGTTTTAGGAAATACTCCACTATCTAAATAGATTCTCTTGCAAATGTTTCAAAAGAAAATGATATTTGTTTTTTTTTGATAATACAGGTGGTTCCGTGTATTTTGGGCGTTAGTCCAACTTATGTGGACCTGTAAGAATTTCTTCGACATGTTAGTCCATTGACACTCACAAGCTCTCATATTTCACTCCTTGGTTTAATTTGTCTTTCTTGCTTAAATGTTGTGTCATATTCTTTGAATTTACTCCCCCGGTTTAACATTACCTCCTTCCCTAATTAATGCCTTACTTTAGTTTATTCTACACCTCTCATTTTTTTTTTTTGATTATACATCAACAAGAACCGGAGGGGATGAAACCGAAGGCTCCCAATGAGATTCGGTAAGATGCTGCTTTTATACCTTTTTGCCCTTCAAATGTCATCATTAGACAAACTTTTGTTATTCATTACTTGTATTTGTTTTCCATTTCAATTTCCCCTTACATCATCAACTATTTCAAAGATGAAGACACACGTGTAGTTGTTTGTACTTCACGCCACTCTATGAAATTATTTCTATGTGGAATCTGTTTGTCGCCAAGTTAAGATAAACTACTTAGGTGACATTTGTTTACAACTTTGAAAACAGACTTTTCTAACTTAGAGTTCGACTATTTGGTTATTTTGAAAAGGTGATTGGTAATTTTCTAATTCTGATAACGTAATTGGAAGTTCCTACTAATGTTCAGACCAAAAATATAAATTCATTCATTCAAATTAAAGTAATACTTACAAAATGTATTTATAAAGATAAAACATATGAACAAGGTGTTTTTCGATGATATTGACAGTTGATATATGTATGTTTCTTTGTTTATATTCAATTTTTTTTAGAAGTTTTTAAGCTTGGATGCTATTAAAAGCTAACAGTTACTATGCTTTTCATTTGGAGCTAAAAGGATTTGGTAGTTTCTTTCTAGAAAAAGAAAAAAGAAACAATCATGGTCTTACCTTTCTCAGTTTTTTAGATAAATATTAGTTTTTTTTAGTGATGAATGTTGAGGTTCAAGAAATAATGTTGTTCCTTCTATGTTTATTCCATATTTAAATCACTATATTGCATTCATAATCATTATATTCTTCTCTGTTGAAATGAATCTACATTCCCTCATGAATTCATTTATTATACTAATTGGCCAAATTTCCCATTAGTTTCACTTTTTTACAAAAAAACCGCATCCCCACATAAGCCACTCACAAATAAAAACTATTCTTTGTTCTTGAAGAAAAAAGAAATTCATAGATCATTTAACTACAAGATATGGAATGGCAACACACATTAGCATTTTATAATTGATCATAATATTTCAAATCTACTATAGATTTAGAGTAACTCATATTGCCAAAATATTCAAAACAAAAGTACTACTTATCCTAATAAATATAAGCAATGACAACATAAACAATAACAAGGGAGTGAACCAAATACTAATTATCACGATTCAAGACAATCTTGAAAAAAGTAAAAAACAATTAATATAATGCCAAAAATGGAATTAACTTTCTTTTTTTGGTCAAAGAGGAAAAAATTAATCTTTCAGAGCCACCTGCCGCCGCAATAGCCATTTTCCTGGCTATATTCCCTTGTAAAATGTCCCTCTTCGCCGCATTTGTAGCATCCCGCTATTCCTCCACCGCCTCCCTGGCTACATTCCCTTGCGAAAGAAGGAGGGGGCTGCTACAAATATGGGGAAGAAGGGCATTTTGGAAGGGATTGTAGGTAGAGAAATGACTATGGGAGGGGCGGAGGTGGCTCTGGAGATTAATATTTCTTCTTTGACCAAAAAAAGAAAATTAATTTGATTTTTCGCATTGTATTAAATGTTTTTACTTTTTTCATGATTGTCAAGAATCATGATAATTAATATTTGGATCACTCTCTTGTTATTTCTTATATTTATTAAAATAAATAGTACTGTTGTTATAAATATTTTTGCAATGTGACTTACTCTAAATGTATGCTGCATGCTTTGAAGTGTGTCAATTATGAAGTGTTAATATGTGTTGTCATTCCATCTTTGTGTTCTAGATGCAAGGTATCTTGTAGTTAAATGATATATGAATTTCTTTTTTTCTTCAACAAGAAAGAAGAGTATGTATTTGAGAGTGGTTTATGTGGGGATATTTTTTTTTATAACTTTTAAGTGAAATGGATGAAGTTGGTTGACATAGCATGTTCTCTATGGAATCCTCAGCATTCTCTAACATCCAATGGAAGGAGCGGAAACCACGCTGGATCATGAATCAGGTGCTGGAATACTTTCTGATTTACTGCCATCTGTAGCTATTTTAGTAGCTTAGTATAGCGATTCCATACATTGGTTTTTTTTACGGAGTTTACATTGCAATAACATTTCTTTTCATAAACGTACTACTGTTAATTGCAAAAAGATGTAATCTCACTTATTCTTGAATAGAGATTTGTATGATGTATCAATTATAGTACTCACACATCTACTATGTTCCTCTAGCTTATCTCTTTATTATAGAAGCAAATCTTTGGTTGGTATTTCGTGAGCACATGCTTGGATTAGTTTCTATGTGGAAAAAGTTGCTTGAAAATCCAAATAAAATGAAAAGACACTTCTATTATTGCACAAAAGGCAGTGACCGGTGAGCTCTTCGATGAAATTCTTTATGTTCCTTTGTTAACTTCTTTTGATGATGGGGGCATATGCTTTATATGAAAATTGATACTATTGTTCTTTTCTTTAGGATGATGCTCAATCTAGTATCATAATTTTCTTCTCAAAACAATATTCTTATATCTTAACTCTTATTCCTTTTTCCATGAGATTTTACTTACTTATAGGACTGTTCTTCTTATGTTTGTTATTCTATAATTTGTGTAGTCTAAGTTCAAACAGGTATAAGGCTCTTGCGTCTCATCTGCTCCCGGTGAACAAAATACTCTCTCCCATTGATTATGGGAGAACAATGCAAAACATAACCTTGTTTCTAGCTTCTTTTGGTTGCAACACCAAACAGATCAACGTTAACTAGGACATGTCATACATATTTGTTTTACTGACTGTGGTGTTGTATTTCTCATTACAATGTGTTTGCTGCTTCCAAGACTGACAAGTCTTCCTGTTTGAACTTAGACGCCTGGTTTTGGCTTACCCAATCGTTTCTGCTTCCCTTTAAATGGATTTCGCAGTCTTTTCGTTCAAATTTGCATCAATTTTCATATATTAGATATTTGCTACATACATCAATCTTCTGGGAGCCTTGGTATCTTTAGGAGATAGTGACATTCAACTGTATATTGATTTTTGAGTGGGATCAGAGTAAAGGAGTGGCTCATATTCTCAGGAGTTGCAAAATTGTAGGTCAATTTGGGCCATCCATTCTCCATGTTATTCAGAAATGAGCCCTACCAAAAATTTTAGGTTGATTTTCACTAAACAGCTGTGTAGGTTGGAAAACACAGCTTTGACCTATTAAATATGCTAACACTGTTAATCTTTGGCATTATTCTAGAGACTCAAGAGCTTTTGAGGATACTTTTTTATGCATCCTATGTTTCAAATGGTATCAGCTTACCTCTTTCAGTTTTTAGAGTTACTGAGTCAGTATCTTTTCTCTTCTTCGAAGTAATAAAAAAGAGAAATATATTAATGACATGGATCTTAGAGGAAGTTGCTTCGTTTGAACACTTTAAAGCTACTTTAACGTTCTAACAGTTTTAATAAATACAAGAAATTGTTAATTAGAATGTGAGGATTAAGGAAAAGCGAGAATAGGCTCGGAAGAAGTGACAATTTTCATATTTTTCTTGACGAGCGGAGGAAGTGGGAGCACATGTAAACAGAAGACTGCGTTTAGTTCTTAGTTTTTGATTGCAGACCATGGAGTAGATCAAACCTGAGAACTGTTGCGCTTTTTAGGATTACTGGATCTTGTTTCACTGATTACTTTGTCTGATAATGCAGACATTTTGCTATGAACTGGATTAGGAAGCTATCAATGGCATGTTATTTATTTGTTAGAAATGCTGCTCATCCCAGCTCAGAATTTCTACTTTGTGTGCCATATGTAGGTTAAGAGAGGAGTAGTTTGAATTATTATCTCAAAAAGGAAAATAAAAAGAAGTTTGAATGTTGATATATACCATCCTTAAGCTGACTTTTCCAAACGATGCTTCACAATCAAGCTAGAGAAAGACTAATCAAGTGCTGTCCTAATGAAATGGTGGACTGAAGAGTGCACTGGTAGGAGTGAGATTCGATCTTCACAGATTATTCGGTGGGGATGTGCTTCTGAAAAGCATGATCCTGAGTCCAGATTTCTCTGTCAAATCATACGTTCAAGTCTGTCAATTGATTTCTCTCTTGCTCATTGACAGTTGGTGTGAACTGGAAATCCAGAAACGCTGCGCACCCCCATTCATCTAATGTTTTTCCTAAGGAGGGTGATTTCCTGGATAATAAATTCAGTGCTTCAGGTAGCTAGCTCCAGTTGTAGATCAGACTGCCTGTTAATTTCCAGATGGGAGGAATTTTTAATAATTGTAGCTGGCAGATCAACAGAGAATGTCTCATTTAAGGAATTTCTTGTACTTGATAACAGTTCAAATGTGATGCATGAGAGAAGGAAACCATTTATGCGGAGCGGTTCTTTGTGCAGAAGCCTGATACATGATGGATCATCTTTTGATAGTTATGAAGATATTAAGTTTGAAAAGAGTAAATACAGAACAAAACAAAATCACCTATAATATGATTTTAGTGTTGAATTTGAAGTAGCTGAGGATGTTAATCAGGTCTTAAATCATAGGTCTCTGTGAGGTAAGGAAATATAATTTGAGAAGTTTTGCTGGGGCAAAACTAAGAGTAAGGCATTGCAGAGGTCAAAATAGATTCAGAAAAGTCTGCATTAACCAAGGACATTCTAGAAGAATACGATCATCGGATGGACTTCTTTGAACAGACTGCTGAAATGTATGATTCCGTCCTGCCATATTTTAGTCCAGAATTGCGTCTCTTCTGTCACCAGATATTGGGACCTGGTTTCGAGATGTTAATCCTTACATTGCTGAAAATGGGATTGGAACTTCTGTTAAACATGAAGTTGGTCTCACGTATATTTTTAGAAACATGGAACATAATTTCTTTGTTCCTGCCATAAATAATATGAGAAAAGACGACTGCTTGTTCCCAAATCCTGCAAAATTTGATCTTGATTTGTATGCTAGTTCTAAAGAGGATATGGGGTAGTATAGGGGCACTTGATGCGTGGGATGTTTATAGTTCAGGTCAGGTCCTTCTGAAATCTATTATGAAAGAGATGATTTGTCACTTTTACATTCTCATGGTGTAGATAACCTTAATAATTATTTGACACCACGAGCTATGCTCTCCTCTAGGGTGGATGGAACTCGGGTAAATGGATTGATACGGGAAATCAAGGTAAAACAGATGAGCTTAAGAGCTTTTGAGACTCCGTTTTGTTAACAACAGGTACTCTTTCTGCCTTACTTTAACAAGTAAGCAAGTAAACTACCTTCACGGGTAAGGACCTCCTCGTGCGAGTCCCCATGCAAGAAGGCATTTTTCACATCTAACTGATACAATGGCCAACGGTCTGTTGCTGATTTTAAGTCAAAGGAAAATGTTTGACGTTTTCTCTTTGATTTAATAGGATGAAGATGATCAGAAGAAGTCATTCAGCGCATCCATTTTACCAAAGCATGGAAAGTTTTTTTCCACAAATGAGTCTTCAAGAAAAGCAGCAGTAAATAACAAATATTGTGACTGTTCGTGATGTGCCACTTATGCCAGGTAATTTGTCATTGAGTGCTTGTTTGTATTAATGATCAATGATGACAGAAAATGTGGGCAACTAATTAATGTTCTTCTCTATCGTGCAGAAACTACCTAGGTAAGGAGACTGCAGCATTCTGCAGAAGCTATCTGCTCGGAGCTTCCACATCAACGTAATCAATCTTCACCCCAAGTTGTGGTGACTGTGTATTGTCTGATGAAAGGTAGGTCATGTTATCAGCTTTGTTGGAAGGGTAAGGTATCTTTCTGATATTCTCTCCATCAAATAAGTTAGTAACTCACATAACCTGATGTCTCTTTCTTCAGGCCAAGTATGAAAATGAAACTAGCTAACATCTGGAATAACAAATTACAAGCTCAAAGGGGAGTGTACAAGTACACACAATGGGGATTCAAAAGAAGGTAAACCATTCCCGCCATTTCCTGACCTGAATAAGAGCTGAATTTTTCTAGTGCATGTTTCAGTTAATGAGCTTCATTTCTTCTTTTTTTTGGGTAATAACTGTGAACTACTACCATTACTCCAACACAAAAACTTCAAATTTACAACCTAAAGAGCACCTCTAGTCCCAACCACCTCTAAGAAGAGGTTTAGGAATATCTAGGCCTCAAACAAAATTGTTCCAGGAAAGAAAACCATAAGCTATTACCAAATACAAACAAATTTATTCAGTTGATCCAAACTATTTACTCTAGTTAATCTTCTCAGCAGATTCTGACACCATGCGGCTCCCCTTGTGTTCTGTAGAGTGGTATTCGAGCTCGCTTCTTTCTGTATCTGTACAATTGCACAACTTGTACTCACATCTATGCTTCGAAAAATCTTCCAATTCCTATCTTTCCATGTGTAATAGATCATTGCCCCTCATACTGCCGCCAAAACTTCCTTTTGTATTTGCTTCCATTTCCTTTATTTCAGCCATTTCAGACTGTGGGGAATCCTTCTGAATCATTTGGACCTTTATCTAGTTTGCCAGACCATGTCAAACTGCAGTACTTCCATTGACATTCGGAGAATAGGTGTTGAGGAGTTTCTATCATGCCTGCCAAACAGAGACAACACTTTGCATCCTTCACATGAATGTTCAATCTCATCATTCTAGACTTGGTGAGCAGTCTGTTCTGGTTTGCTAACCAAACAATAAATCTATGTTTCGGCTGCATAATTTTTGTCCATATAAGATTGGCTTCCCAAAGGCTGGTTTGAGCCCCTATCAGTGCATTATAGCTCCTTGTGACTGAATAAGTGCCACATTTTGTCAACTTGTATTTGTCATTTTGGTACCAATCTGTCATCTTAGTTTTCAGAGAGGTCAACTTTCTCCAGTACCAGCTACAATCTGTCGGTGGTATGTGATTCCAAATATTTCCATGTTGCTTTAAATACACTCCATGTACCCATTTTACCACGAGAATGTCTTGCTTCTCTGAAACCTGCCTTAATAACTTCCCAACTGAAGCTTCATTCCAATTTCTGCACCCTTTAACATTTTGTCCTCCAAATTTCATTGGGAGGCACACCTTGTCCCAGGCAACCAAATGTGCCTTTCTCTGATCAGTACTACTTCCCCATAAAAAATCTTTGCATTTTCTATCCACGGCCTTGAGCACACTTTGAGGTAAAATGAAGACTCCACCCTGAAAGTTAAATATTGAAAAGAAGACACCATTAACTATTCGTAATCTTCCTGCACAAGAGAGCTTCCTAGCATAAGCATTATTTACCTCAGTAATCTTCTCCACAATTTGGTGACACACCATCTTACCCCATTTCTTTGAGGATAATGGAAGCCCAAGATACCTAATAGGTAGAGTACCTAAAGAGAATCCCTGTCATGTCCAGTATCTCCTCCTTTAACTCATCAATAATCCCAGCTAGAAAGATATTGGATTTCTCCACATTAGCACTAATCTAGTGGTATCACTAAAGTGCTCCAAAGCTTTCCTGACTCTTTGAATGGACCTTATATCCCCTTTGCAGAAAATCATCAGGTCATCCGCAAATATTAAGTGAGTCACCCTTTGCTCCTTACACATGGGATGGAATTTGAATTCGGGAATATTGTTAGATACTTCACTATCTAACAATATTCTCTTGCACGTGTTTCATAAGAAAATGATATTGTTTTTTTTTTTTTTTGTAATGAAGGTTCTGTGTAGCTGGGGTGTTCGGATATCTCCAACCCAGACACCTAACACCAAATTTACTATAATCAACTTCAATCCACTACACCGAAAAATAATCTTTTTTTTCTCTTTATTATTGTATTATTATTTTTTATTTCATTTATTTTTTCTTATTTCATAAAACAAATTCTTCCTATGATTCATATTATTTTCTTTTATAATCGTTTAATATAAAATTATTTTTTATTATAATTTTTTAAATAATATAAATTGCTAGCAAATATTATACGGTATACATAGTAATGGATAATACGGATAAAAGTGAAATCATTAATGGAATATTCCATTAGAAATGATTAAATATACAAGAGATTAATTAAAACATACGATTTATATAATGTTTAATTAAAAATTTGTATAATAAAATAATATTATAATATTCAAAAAGTTATTTGGTGTGAAAATTGGTGTGGGTTAGAGCTTAAACACCAAATTTCACACTAAATATAGAATTTAGTGTAAAATTTGGTGTTGGATTGGAGATAGTCTTAGTCTAATTAATGTGGAACTATTAAAATTTCTTCAAACAGGTTAGTCCATTGAAACTTACAAGCACTCATATTTCACTCCATTGAATTAAATTCCTCATGTGGAATCTTGCTTATGTTGTTGCTTAAATGTCGTGTCATGTTCTCTGACTAAACTTCCCCTTTTTAATGTTACTTTATTGTTTTAATTAACTCTGATTTATTGCCCATATGTAGTTATTTTAGTAGTTTATTGTAGAGATTCTATATATGTGTGCTTTTATGGAGTTTACATTGCAATTACATATCTTTTGAGTTTTAATAAATGTCTATTGTTAATTATGAAAAGATATAGACTCACTTAATCTTGAATACAGATCTGTGTATCAATTAGATTACTCACATATCTACTATGTTCATCTTTTTATAGAATTAAGTTTTTGATTGGTATTTCGTCAACACATCGCTTAGATTAGTTTCTATGTGGAAATAGTTGTTTGAAAATCCAAAATGAAATGAGCAGGCACCTCTATTTATCTGGTAATGTTAGCATACAACTTTCAAATTTCTATAGTTTATTTTTCACTTCCTAATAATTATGGATGCTATTATGTTTGGTGTTAATTCAATTTTATTACACAAAAATCTTATTTGTATAGAAATTCTTGTGACTTGGAAATTTTCTTTTACAGTACAATCTCATTGATAATTAAATGAGATGTTAATTGATAATTAGTAATCGTATGGAGCAACTAAAGTTATGGAAGTTTTGGTCTATTATTTATTTGAATTTAAGGCTAATCTTTTCATTCTTATGTCTTTTCTCATCCTCCTTCAATGTTATTATGCAAAATTTCTAATGATTTTTAGAATCTCGTACTTTGTGAATTATATTTTGTTTATTTATATATTAAGATATTTTTTTTGCGCCATTATATCTACTTTCCGGTGTATTTGGGATAATTAAGAATGTATTTTAACATTTAAAATAATTGTATTGTTACTTTGCTAAGTACGAGTCATGTTGACTGTGGCAGTTAAATGAAAATAACATGGATATTTTCTAGTTTAAGTGAAACAAAGTAATATGAACATGTTAAAAGTTTAAAATAAGATTTATGGTCATAAGAGATGGATGTATTTAATTTTTGAGAAATCTATTTTATATGTATAACATATTTATTTGTAATCTTGTTGTTTAGGATTAAAATTTCGAATTATAAATTTTGTAATCTAGATAAATCTGTGAATATTGCATCTTTCTTCTTGCGACAGAAGTCAAACTCAGCTATGGTAACTATTTATGTTCTTTCCATCCATAGTGGTTGTAAGTTTACTTTTATTGCATTTGAAAAATGAAGTACTTGCAAGTTTACTTCTTATTCTATTTGAAGGATGAAGGAGGAATAAGACCAAAAAATTGAGAATTAACGATGAGAAGAGAATATAGTTATATTTGGAAAGTCACTTGGTAATTGAAATTGGTGTAATTAATTACAGTGACATGTTTGGTTGTCACATTACACTACAATTACACATATTCTGTTTGGATGTCAAAGTGTAATAACACATGTTCTGTTTGCAATCACAAAATTATAATAAATTTTAAAATAAGAATTAATTATTTTAAATTTATACTAGACAAATAAGAAACTTTATAAATGACATTAAATTAAATAGTTAAGATATATATTCTTTTTTTGAAAATATATTAATTAATAAACATATTTTCTGTAACTAATATTATGAAAAAAATAATTGATTTTATATTTTTGAAATTAATATCTTTCAATTGAATTGATCGTAACAACTAAAATTATGATGTTTTCGTGAACATCGTGAAATGCATGTTTGATAAAAAGAATAATGTATAAATAAAATGTCATAAATTATTAAATATTTGACAAAAGTTATAAATATAGCATATAACATAAGTTATAAATTCAAAACAAAATTTTGAACATAATACTCTTATAACAAATTTCGACATAGCAATAAATATGATTTATTTTTATTTTTTCTTAATTAAGAAAACGTAAGTAAATTCTATTTTAATTTAAAAATTAAAATAATAATAAAATCATGCTAATGAGAAAATAAGAGCTCACTGCCCACTGCAGAACTTCTTCCTACGCTATACTCACCACCGTCGCAGAACCGGAAGCTACCGGAGTATAGAACTCGCCACCGTCGCAGAAGCGGAACCTACCGGAGTATAAAACTCGCCACCGTCGCAGGACCGGAACATCATACGCAACCGGATGAAAACCCCTAAAACCGAATCGATTTTCCCGCCGTCAGCTTCCCATCATGTTAGAATTCTTGAAAAATCTGGTAACTCGATGGTACAGAGTAAGATTTTCTTATCCATGTTTAAAGAAATCATTCTTTTTTTTAAGAAATTCAAGAAATCTTTTCTTTCTTAAAAAATCAAGAATTTGTGTTTACTTCTTTAAGGAGAGAGGGGATGAATGCCCGAGACTATTTCTGTCAATGGGGTTTTCTTGGATTATTGCACAAGTGTTGTTGACTAGTTCTTATAAAACAGAGTTGAATTTCTGTCAGGGGTTTTCTGAATGATTTCACCAGGGTTATTGATGAGTTGCTTTAAAACAGACTCAAATTTCTGTCCGAGTTTTCTTGAATGATTTTAAAAAAGCATCGATGCTGGTGCCACCAAGATGTACTAATTTACCCCTTCAAAGGTATTATATGGAAAGTTGTGGAGTTGTTCTTGAAGCCCCATTCGCACAATTCTAGTTTAATTATAAGAAGTTAAGTATTTTTGAATGAAGACACTCAATTAGGCAAACTTCCGTAAATGTCCTCAGTGACCAATTTCCTTTACATGGTCTATAGTATAGACCTTTTGACTTCGATTGTTTCTTCAAAATGGAAAATTGTGCCAGGTAAGAGAATGGTGAATTATATGGTTCGTGTTTTCTGATTTTGTTAATGTTTTGAGGATCTGTAGAGGTGGGCTGCTGCTAAGAACATCATAGTTATGTGAGTAACGATGAAAGTTGTGCTTTCATGCAGTTTTAATCTTTTACACTGTAGTTGCACCTGCAAATTTGTGTGTTGCTTGCAAAATAGGCAGTGACCAGAGAGGAGGCTCTTCATTGAATTCTTATGTTACTTTCTTTGCTACTTTGCACGATGAGAGCATATGTTTTATATGAAAATTGATATTCTCAGATGCTCCTTTTTGGTATATCATAATTTTCTTTATACACAACCCTTAGTTCTTTTTTCAATGAGATTTACTTCCTTAGAGGACTGTCCTTTCTATTTTCTTATGCTTAAAACTTGTGTACTCCTAGTTTGAACTTTAACCCAGTGTCAACTTTCCACCCGGTGTACCTGCTATATATAGATGGATGACAATGGTAAGTTTAGTTTCTTTGACATCGATTTAATGCATTTTGATGTGCAGAAAGTTCTACTCAATTTGTATTTTACTTTATCACTTCTTTTGAACGATCTGGTGTCTCATGCTGATGGGAGAAAGATATGGTAACATTTTTGCAAAATGTTAAAACTCACATCATCTCTTTTTTTTAATGATGCTGCTGTACATAATTTATTTTGCGTGACAACTATGATGTTCATAACTTGGAATGGTTGTTTAGTCTATAGGATTACATGCATTACTCAACTGATAGGCCGGTTGATGGTTTGTGTACATTAATATCTTTTTACAGATGTTCTTTATTTATTGTTTTGTGGTTTTACTTGTAATTGGGAGAACTGGTATGGCTGTACACAACACAAAATATTGGTGCTTACATTTTGTTTCTGCTTTTATTATAAGATCTCCATGTACGTCACTTTCTTGGTGCTTAATTTGACCTATTAAATATGCTAAAACTGTTGATGTTTGGTAGTACTGTAGGGACTCAAGAAATTTCGAGGATACTATTTTATGCATCCTTCGTTTCAAAAGTATCAACTTACCTCCTTCAGTTAAGAGCTACTGAGTTGATATCTTTTCTCTTCTTTGAAGTTATATAAGAGAGATATATATTAATGACATGGATCCTAGAGGAACTTGCTTCATTTGAACACTTCTTTTTGAGAATTAAAAATACTGCTTCATTTGAACACTTCTTTATACTGCTTCATTTGAATACTTTAAAGCTGCTTTAGCGTTATAACAGACAACAGTTCTAATAAATACAAGAAATTATTAAATAGAATGGGTCGATTAAGGAAAGGCGAGAATAGGCTCTGAGGAAGTGACAAAATTTTCATATTTTTCTTTAATGAGTTGAGGAAGTGGGAGCACATGTAATCAGAAGATGACGTTTAGTTCTTCTAAGTTTTCGACTGCAGACCATGACCAGATCAAACTTTAGAGCTGTTGCACTTTTTAGGATTACTGGATTTTGTTTCACTGATTACTTTGTCTGATAATGTAGACTCTTTGCTATGAACTGGATTAGGAAGATATTGACTTCAGTGCCATGTTATTTAATTGTTAGAAATGCTGGTAATCACCAGCTCATAATTTCTACTTTGTGTACCATACGTAGGTTAAGAGAGGAGTGATTTGAGTTATTATCTGAAAAAAGCAAAATAAAAAGAGGTGTGTGTGTGTGGGGTGGGACAAAATGCGGGGACTACTGTCCAGTGATTAAATATGCTAACACTGTTAATCTTTGGCATTATTCTAGAGACTCGAGAGCTTTTGAGGATACTTTTTTATGCATCCTATGTTTCAAATGGTATCAGCTTACCTCTTTCAGTTTTTAGAGTTACTGAGTTAGTATCTTTTCTCTTCTTTGAAGTTATAAAGAGAGAAATATATTAACGACATGGATCTTAGAGGAAGTTGCTTGGTTTGAACACTATAAAGCTACTTTAACGTTCTAACAGTTTTAATAAATACAAGAAATTGTTAATTAGAATGTGGGAGGATTAAGGAAAAGCGAGAATAGGCTCTGAAGAAGTGACAATTTTCATATTTTTCTTGACGAGCGGAGGAAGTGGGAGCACATGTAAACAGAAGACTGCGTTTAGTTCTTAGTTTTTGATTGCAGACCATGGAGTAGATCAAACCTGAGAACTGTTGCACTTTTTAGGATTACTGGATCTTGTTTCACTGATTACTTTGTCTGATAATGCAGACATTTTGCTATGAACTGGATTAGGAAGCTATCAATGGCATGTTATGTATTTGTTAGAAATGCTGCTCATCCCAGCTCAGAATTTCTACTTTGTGTGTCATATGTAGGTTAAGAGAGGAGTAGTTTGAATTATTATCTCAAAAAGGAAAATAAAAAGAAGTTTGAATGTTGATATATACCGTCCTTAAGCTGACTTTTCTAAACGATGCTTCACAATCAAGCTAGAAAATGACTAAGCAAGTGCTGTCCTAATGAAATGGTGGACTGAAGAGTGCACTGGTAGGAGTGAGATTCGATCTTCACAGATTATTCGGTGGGGATGTGCTTCTGAAAAGCATGATCCTGAGTCCAGATTCCTCTGTCAAATCATACGTTCAAGTCTGTCAATTGATTTCTCTCTTGCTCATTGACAGTTGGTGTGAACTGGAAATCCAGAAACGCTGCGCACCCCCATTCATCTAATGTTTTTCCTAAGGAGGGTGATTTCCTGGATAATAAATTCAGTGCTTCAGGTAGCTAGCTCCAGTTGTAGATCAGACTGCCTGTTAATTTCCAGATGGGAGGAATTTTTAATAATTGTAGCTGGCAGATCAACAGAGAATGTCTCATTTAAGGAATCTCTTGTACTTGATAACAGTTCAAATGTGATGCATGAGAGAAGGAAACCATTTATGCGGAGCGGTTCTTTGTGCAGAAGCCTGATACATGATGGATCATCTTTTGATAGTTATGAAGATATTAAGTTTGAAAAGAGTAAATACAGAACAAAACAAAATCACCTATAATATGATTTTAGTGTTGAATTTGAAGTAGCTGAGGATGTTAATCAGGTCTTAAATCATAGGTCTCTTTCAGGTAAGGAAATATGATTTGAGAAGTTTTGCTGGGGCAAAACTAAGAGCAAGGCATTGCAGAGTCAAAATAGATTCAGAAAAGTCTGCATTAACCAGGACATTCTAGAAGAATACGATCATCGGATGGACTTCTTTGAACAGACTGCTGAAATGTATGATTCCGTCCTGCCATATTTTAGTCCAGAACCGCGTCTCTTCTGTCACCAGATATCGGGACCTGGTTTCGAGATGTTAATCCTTACATTGCTGAAAATGGGATTGAAACTTCTGTTGAACATGAAGTTGGTCTCACGTATATTTTTAGAAACATGGAACATAATTTCGTTGTTCCTGCCATAAATAATTTGAGAAAAGACGACTGCTTGTTCCCAAATCCTGCAAAATTTGATCTTGATTTGTATGCTTGTTCTAAAGAGGATATGGGGCAGTATAGGGGCTCTTGATGCGTGGGTTGTTTATAGTTCAGGTCCTTCTGAATTCTATTATGAAGGAGATGATTTGTCACTTTTACATTCTCATGGTGTAGATAACCTTAATAATTATTTGACACCACGAGCTATGCTCTCCTCTAGGGTGGATGGAACTCGGGTAAATGGATTGATACGGGAAATCAAGGTAAAACAGATGAGCTTATAGGATGAAGAGGATCAGAAGAAGTCATTCAGCTCATCCATTTTACCAAAGCATGGAGAAGTTTTTGCCACAAATGAGTCTTCAAGAAAAGCAGCAGTAAATAACAAATATTGTGACTGTTCGTGATGTGCCACTTATGCCAGGTAATTTGTCATTGAGTGCTTGTTTGTATTAATAATCAATGATGACAGAAAATGTGGGCAACTAATTAATGTTCTTCTCTATCGTGCAGAAACTACAGCGACAAGGAGACTGCAGCATTCTGCAGAAGCTATCTGCTCGGAGCTTCCACATCTATGTAATCAATCTTCACCCCAAGTTGTGGTGACTGTGTATTGTCTGATGAAAGGTAGGTCATGTTATCAGCTTTGTTGGAAGGGTAAGGTATCTTTCTGATATTCTCTCCATCAAATAAGTTAGTAACTCACATAACCTGATGTCTCTTTTTTCAGGCCAAGTATGAAAATGAAACTAGTTAACATCTGGAATAACAAATTACAAGCTCAAAGGAGAGTGTACAAGTACACTCAATGGGGATTCAAAAGAAGGTAAACCATTCCCGCCATTTCCTGACCTGAACAAGAGCTGAATTTTTCTAGTGCATGTTTCAGTTAATTAGCTTCATTTCTTCTTTTTTTTGGGTAATAACTGTGAACTACTACCGTTACTCTAACATGAAAACTTCAAATTTACAACCTAAAGAGCACCTCTGGTCCCAACCACCTCTAAGAAGAGGTTTAGGACTATCCAGGTCTCAAACAAAACTGTTACAGGAAAAAAAAACATAAGGTATTGCCAAATACAAACAAATTTATTCAGTTGATCTAAACTATTTACTCTCTAGTTAATCTTCTCAGCAGATTCTGACACCATGCGGCTCCCCTTGTGTTCTGTAGAGTGGTATTCGAGCTCGCTTCTTTCTGTATTTGTACAATTGCACAACTTGTACTCACATCTATGCTTCGAAAAATCTTCCAATTCCTAGCTTTCCATGTGTGATAGATCATTGCCCCTAATACTGCCGCCAAAACTTCCTTTTGTATTTGCTTCCATTTCCTTCGTTTCAGCCATTTCAGACTTTGGGGCATCCTTCTGAATCATTTGGACCTCTGTCCAGTTTGCCAGACCATGTCAAACTGCAGTAATCCATTGACATTCGGAGAATATGTGTTGAGGAGTTTCTATCATGCCTGCCAAACAGAGACAACACTTTAGAGATACATTTATATGGGACATTGCAACATGAAATGGGTCTAAACTGACTAGCCGATTGTGACGCTCTGGTACTTTGGGAATTAAAGAGATCATTGTAGCATTATTTGCTTCAAAAGTTTTCCATTCCTAAAGAATTGCAAAACTGCCTCTGTAACATCATTGCCCACCACTTTCCAAGCCTTTTTGTAGTAATCACTTCCATATCCATCTAGACCGGGGCTCTTATTACTGCCAATGGTAAAAATGACTTTCTTGACATCATTTTTAGTATATTTCTTTATCAACTCAACCTGCTGAATGAATGTTAATGTATGACCATGTCTTTAGTAAATTTCTAAAGGTTTGCTCTTTGAATTATAAGGCTGAATAGGTTTCCAATTAAATTGGAAACCTATTCACGACATCATCATGTTTTAGGAAATACTTCACTATCTAGTATTTTCTTGCACGTGTTTCGTAAGAAAATGATTGGTTCTTTTTTTTTTTTTTTGGTAATGCAGGTTCTGTGTAGCTGGGGTGTTAGGGCATCTCCAATCCAAACACCTAATTTTACATCAAATTTGGTGTTAACCAAATTTACTGTAATCAACTCCAATCTACTGCATCGAAAAATAATTTATTTTCTCTCTTTATTATTATATTATTATTTTTTATTTCATTTATATTTTTTTATTTCATAAAACAAATTCTTTCTATGGTTCTCCTTTTATAATCGTTTAATATAAAATTATTTTGTATCATAATTTTTTAAATATATAAATTGCTAGCAAATATTATACAGTATACATAATAATGGATTATACAAATAAAAGTAAAATCATTAATGAAATACAATTAGATAAACGTTATATAATTGAAGATTTTATTTTAAATTATACATAAATATTAACTACGATGCTCCCATAAATGTTCTATTAATGCATTACGTAGTTTAAAATGAGCTTCTTGTCCTTCATTTTTTTTATATCGAGCTAAAAATTATTGAAATTGATAATTTTCGTCTATTGTCATTTCTACAGTCGGTGCTGGACCTTTCGATACATCTTGAATTGATGCATTAAGATCACGCACATTCTCAATTGTATTATTTTTAAAAAAATTTGTATGTTTGTATTTTTAATTTTATGAGGGTAAATTGTAGTTTATATAACTAATATATAGTATATTAACACAAATTTAATTTTTTAAAAAAGTCATATAAAGAAAAATTAATTTATAAAAAGCTAAATTTTATATCTAAATTAATATTATAAAAATATTCCATTGAAAATGATTAAATATACAAAAAAATATAATTAAAACATACAATTTATATAACGTTTAATTAAAAGTTTGTGTAGTGAAATAATATTATAATATTTAAAAAGTTATTTGGTGTGAAAATTAGTGCAGGTTAGAGCTTAAAACACCAAATTTCACACTAAATAAAATAATTAGTGTAGAATTTGGTGTTGGGTTGGAGATGGTCTTAGTCTAGCTAATGTGGAACTATCAAAATTTCTACAACAGTGTAGTCCATTGACACTTACAAGTACTCATATTTCACCTCATTGAATTAACTCTAATATTTCTCGTGTGAAATCTTGCTTATGTTCTTACTTAATTGTCATGTCATGTTCTCTGACTAAACTCCCCTTCTTTTTTTTTTTTGGTTACTTTATTGTTTTAATTAACTTCGATTTATTGCCCATATGTAGCTATTTTAGTAGTTTATTGTAGAGATTCTTTATATGTGTGCTTTATGGAGTTTACATTGCAATTATATCTCGTAATGTTAGCATACAACTTTCAAATTTCTATAATTTATTTTTCACTTTTTAATACTTATGGATGCTATTATGTTTGGTGTTAATTCAATATTATTACACAAAAATCTTATTTGTATAGATATTCTTGTGACTTGGACATTTTCTTTTATAGTGCAATCTCGTTGATAATTAAATGAGATGTTAATTGATAATTAGTAATTGTATGGAGCAACTAAAGTTATGGAAGTTTTGGTCTATTATTTATTTGAATTTAAGACTAATCTTTTCATTCTTATGTCTTTTCTCATCCTCCTTCAATGTTATTATGCAAAATTTCTAATGATTTTAGAATCTCGTACTTTGTGAATTATATTTTGTTTATTTATATATTAAGATATTTTTTTGTGCCGTTATATCTACTTTTCGGTGTATTTGAGATAATTAAGAATTTATTTTAACATTTAAAATAATTGTATTGTTACTTTGCTAAGTACGAGTCATGTTGACTTTGTGGCAGTTAAATGAAAATAACATGGATATTTTCTAGTTTAAGTGAAACAAAGTAATATGAATATGTTAAAAGTTTAAAATAAGATTTTATGGTCATAAGAGATGGATGTATTTAATTTTTGCTGTTTAGGATTAAAATTTTGAATTATAAATTTTGTAATCTAAATAGATATGTGAATATTGCATCTTTCTTCTTGCGATAGAAGTTAAACTCAGCTCTGACAGCTAATTATGTTCTTCCCATCCATAGTGACTGCAAGTTTACTTTTTATTGTATTTGAAAAATGAAGTATTCGCAAACTTTTTTTTTATTGTATTTTAAGGAGGAATAAGACCAAAAAAATGAGAATTAATGACGAGAAGAATATAGTTAGGGTCAATTTGGAAAGTCACTTGGTAATTGAAATTGGTGTAATTAATTACACTTACCTGTTTGGTTGCCACATTGTAATTACACTAAAATTACACATGTCGTGTTTGAATGTCAAAATGTAATAACACATGTTCTGTTTGTATGCATAAACGCAATCACAAAATTATGATAAATTTTAAAAATAAGAATTAATTATTTAAAATTTATACTAGACAAATAAGAAACTTTATAAATGACATTAAATTAAATAGTTAAGATATATATTCTTTTTTGAAAATATATTAATGAATAAACATATTTTCCGTAACTAATATTATGAAAAAATAATTGATTTATATTTTTAAAATTAATATCTTTCAATTGAATTGATCGTAACAACTAAAAATATGAAGTTTTCACGAACATCGTGAAATGCATGTTTGATAATAAGAATAATATATAAATAAAATGTCATAAATTATTAAATGTTTGACAAAAATGTTATCTATCAAGTCTAATTAAAAAAAATATTGTGCAATGTAAATTCAATATCTACTAAACAAATGAAACTGAAAATATGGCATAGCAAAATTTTGAACATAATACTCTTATAACAAATTTCAACATAGCAATAAATATGATTTATTCTTATTTTTCTTAATTAAGAAAACGTAAGTCTATAAATTCTATTTTAATTAAAAATTAAAATACTAATAAAATCATGCTAATGAGAATATAAACATGGCAGATAGAAATAGATAATACGAAAAAAATTACATAAATACACGTAAAGTAAAGTTGAAAATAAGAAGAAAATAAAATATATAATAATGTAAAATAATAAATAAACTTTTACAAATTTTTAGAATAATAATAATAAAAAAAATTAAAATAATAGAAGCAAAGAAAATTAAAATAAAAATTGAAATAAAAAAATTAAAAAGTAATCAAGTGGTAATTACACCATGCAATATTAGAAATTCACCGCCTCTGCGGTTGAATTATAGAGTATAATCACCTCTGTCACTGACCAAGTAATTAAATATCCTTTCAAACAGGACAAAACAATTTAATTATATCAAATCTAATTACCAATATATCCTTCCAAACAGGTCCTAAGTTTTTGTTAAAATAGGCTTACTATCACTGAACAACTTGAAAATTAACTAATTTAAGTTAGTATATGATAACAATTTTCATATTATAAATGGAATAGTTATTTTTTAATTATTATTGTTATAATCAATGAAACAGAATTTTTTAATTAAAAAATTTGAAAAATAAATAAACAAGTACTAAAATAAAATAAAATAGAATAAATATATTATTATTAACGCGTTTATTTTTCTCCGCGTGTTCAAATGCTATAAATAAGAGCTCACTGCCCACTACAGAACTTCATACGCTATACTCACCACCGTCGCAGAACCGGAAGCTACCGGAGTATAGAACTCGCCACCGTCGCAGAAGCGGAAGCTAGCGGAGTATAGAACTCACCACCGTCGCAGGACCGGAACTTCATACGCAACCGGATGAAACCCCTAAAACCGAATCAATTTTCCCGCCGTCAGCTTCCCATCATGTTCGAATTCTTGAAAAATCTGGTAACTCGATGGTACTGTAAGATTTTCTTATCCATGTTTAAAATAATCAAAGAAATCATTCTTTATTTTAAGAAATTCAATAAATCTTTTCTTTCTTAAAAAATCAAGAATTTGTTTTCACTTCTTTAAGGAGAGAGGGGATGAATGCCCGAGACTATTTCTGTCAATGGGGTTTTCTTGGATTATTGCACAAGTGTTGTTGACTAGTTCTTATAAAACAGACTTGAATTTCTGTCAGGGGTTCCTGAATAATTTAACCTGGGTTATTGATGAGTTGCTTTAAAACAGACTCAAATTTCTGTATGGGTTTTCTTGAATGATTTTAAAAAAGATGTACTAATTTACCCCTTCAAAGGTATTGAATGGAAAGTTGTGGAGTTGTTCTTGAAGCCCCATTCGCACAATTCTAGTTTAATTATAAGAAGTTAAGTATTTTTGAATGAAGACACTCAATTAGGCAAACTTCCGTAAATGTCCTCAGTGACCAATTTCCTTTACATGGTCTATAGTATAGACCTTTTGACTTCGATTGTTTCTTCAAAATGGAAAATTGTGCCAGGTAAGAGAATGGTGAATTATATGGTTCGTGTTTTCTGATTTTGTTAATGTTTTGAGGATCTGTAGAGGTGGGCTGCTGCTAAGAACATCATAGTTATGTGAGTAACGATGAAAGTTGTGCTTTCATGCAGTTTTAATCTTTTACACTATAGTTGCACCTGCAAATTTGTGTGTTGCTTGCAAAATAGGCAGTGACCAGAGAGGAGGCTCTTCATTGAATTCTTATGTTACTTCCTTTGCTACTTTGCACGATGAGAGCATATGTTTTATATGAAAATTGATATTCTCAGATGCTCCTTTTCGGTGTATCATAATTTTCTTTATACACAACCCTTAGTTCTTTTTTCAATGAGATTTACTTCCTTAGAGGACTGTCCTTTCTATTTTCTTATGCTTATAACTTGTGTACTCTTAGTTTGAACTTTAACCCAGTGTCAACTTTCCACCCGGTGTACCTGCTATATATAGATGGATGACAATGGTAAGTTTAGTTTCTTTGACATCGATTTAATGCATTTTGATGTGCAGAAAGTTCTACTCAATTTGTATTTTACTTTATCACTTCTTTTGAACGATCTGGTGTCTCATGCTGATGGGAGAAAGATATGGTAACATTTTTGGAAAATGTTAGACTCACATCATCTCTTTTTTTTAATGATGCTGCTGTACATAATTTATTTTGCGTGACAACTATGATGTTCATAACTTGGAATGGTTGTTTAGTCTATAGGATTACATGCATTACCAACTGATAGGCCGGTTGATGGTTTGTGTACATTAATATCTTTTTACAGATGTTCTTTATTTATTGTTTTGTGGTTTTACTTGTAATTGGGAGAACTGGAATGGCTGTACACAACACAAAATATTGATGCTTACATTTTGTTTCTGCTTTTATTTTAAGATCTTCATGTCCATCACTTTCCTGGTGCTCAATTTGACCTATTAAATATGCTAAAACTGTTGATGTTTGGTAGTATTGTAGGGACTCAAGAAATTTCGAGGATACTATTTTATGCATCCTTCGTTTCAAAAGTATCAACTTACCTCCTTCAGTTAAGAGTTACTGAGTTGATATCTTTTCTCTTCTTTGAAGTAATAAAAGAGAGAGATATATTAATGACATGGATCCTAGAGGAACTTGCTTCATTTGAACACTTCTTTTTGAGAATTAAAAATACTGCTTCATTTGAATACTTTAAAGCTTCTTTAACGTTATAACAGACAACAGTTCTAATAAATACAAGAAATTATTAATTAGAATGGGACGATTAAGGAAAAGCGAGAATAGGCTTTGACGAAGTGACAAAATTTTCATATTTTTCTTTAATGAGTTGAGGAAGTGGGAGCACATGTAAACATAAGATGACGTTTAGTTCTTCTTAGTTTTCGACTGCAGACCATGACTAGATCAAACTTTAGAGCTGTTGCACTTTTTAGGATTACTGGATTTTGTTTCACTGATTACTTTGTCTGATAATGTAGACTCTTTGCTATGAACTGGATTAGGATGATAATGACTTCAATGCCATGTTATTTAATTGTTAGAAGTGCTGGTCATCACCAGCTCATAATTTCTACTTTGTGTACCATATGTAGGTTAAGAGAGGAGTGATTTGAGTTATTATCTGAAAGAAGCAAAATAAAAAGAGGTGTGTGTGTGTGTGTGGGGGGGGGGGGGTTCTTGTTTGTCTATTAGAACATGTCACTTGTTCATTTTTGTTCCATGTTAGATGTGCAATCCAATTGCCAGAATATGTGCAACATTTATATCCCTAGTTGGCACCATTGATACTGCTTCTGTTAATCTGATAAAGCTATTTTGATGTGCTTTATCGGTGAGAGCAATTCACTCGACATTTTTATTCAACTCTTAGGATTCATTGTATATGACGTTATTTGTACATGTGGCTTTGTTGAAGTATCCTTCTCATCTATTGCTATCCCATTCCCTGCACCATTTTTCAGATATATTATACCTGTGAATTATGATATCAGGAAAAAGAGGTGCAGGATCCAGAGTTACAAAGCGACACTTGAACTTCTTTCCTGCAGCCAAGAAATTGATTGGAGAATGCACTGTCAGGAGTGCAATTCGATCTTCACAGATTATTCTGTGGGGAAGTGCTTCTGCAAAGCATGATCCTGAGTCCAGATTCCTCTGTCAGATCAAAAATTCAAGTCAGTCAATACTCAAATGATTGCTCTCTTGCTCCATTGCACAATCGGTGTGAATTGGAAATCCAGAAACTCTGCACACCCCTTTCATCTAATGTTTTACCTACGGAGGATGGTTTCCTGGATAACGAATTCAGTGTTTCAGCTAGCTCCAGTTACAAATCAGACTGCCTATTAGTTCTATGACTTCCTTTTCTCTTGAGCTACTTTTGGAAAGCCTAGATAAGAATATAGTTGTTGAAGTATCCTCCTCATCTGTTGCTATCCCATTCCCTGCTCCACTTTTCAGATATACCTGTGAATTATGAGATCAGGAAAAAGAGGTGCAGGACCCAGAGTTGCAAAGTGACACTTGAACTTCGTTCCTGCAGCCAAAGAAATTGACCGGAGAGTGCACTGTCAGGAGTTAGATTCGATCTTCACGGATTATTCTGTGGGGAAGTACTTCTGAAAAGCAAGATCCTGAGTCCAGATTCCTCTGTCAGATCAAAAGTACTTCACGGATTGTTTCCACATGCTGCAAAAAGAGATCTCGATTTTATGCTTGTTCTAAAGAGGATATGAGTATTATAGGGGAAGTTGATGCTTGGGATGTTTATAGTTCAGGTCCTTCTGCATTCTATTATGATGGAGATGATTTGTCACATATACATTCTCATGGTGAAGAAAACCTTAAAAATTATTTGACACTCGAGCTATGCTCTTCTCTAGGGTGGATGGGAACTCGGGTAAATGGATTGATGCTGGAAATCGAGGTAAAACAGATGAGCTTATAAGGAAGAAGATCGGAATAAGTCATTCAGGTCATTCATTTTACAAAAGCATGAAGTTCTTTGCCACAAATGAGTCTTCAAGAATGGCAGCAGTAAATAACAAATATTATGACTGTTCATGATGCGCCGCTCACGCCAGGTAATTTGTCCTCGAGTGCTTGTTTGTATTAATAATCAATGATGCAGAAAATGTGCCCAACTAATTAATGTTCTTTTCCATCGTGCTGAAACTACATAGGTAAGGAGACTGCAGCAGTCTGCAGAGGCTATCTGCTCGGAGCTTCCACATCAATATAATCAATCTTCCACCCCAAGTCGTGGTGATGGTGTATTCTATGATGAAAGTTAGGTCGTGTTATCAACTTTCTTGGAAGGGTTAGGTTTCTTTCTGATAAGGAATCAATTATGTTAGTTACTCACACGGCCTGATGTTTCTCTCAGCAGGCCAAGTGTGAAAATGAAACTAGTTAACATCTGGAACAACAAATTACAATCTCAAGGAGAGTGTACAAGTACACACGATGAGGAGTCAATAGAAGGTAAACCATTCGGCCATTCCTGCCATTTGTTCCTGTCCTGAATAAGAGCTGAAATTTTTCTAGTGCATGTTTCAGTTAATTAGCTTCATTTCTTTCACCCAATTTTTCAAGATTATCTTAAACTACATTCTTATTAATCATGAAAGCATTATAGATTACCATGTCTCGTTACATGCTTCCTGGGCCGCATAAACTCTTTCAAATCCCATCTGATCTTGTAATAGAATTGTCATGCCCCGACATTTTTTACTTACAATTTCAGAATTCGCACCAACAAAAACTCAAAAAGTTTCTTATTTCTCGGACAAAATTTCAGAAGTTGCACCAAAAATGATTTTGAGATATTTTTCTTAATTCCTTTGTCTTTGTTTTCATTTGTGTTGGAACAATGACCCTGATATGGATAGAGTGGAAAAGATTCAAAGGAATGAGGATAAATATAACACGGCTACTAATTTTGGGGAGCAGCATAATTGATGGATTGATTGGTGATGTTACCATTCTATTTATTTATTGTTTATTTTCGTAGGTGCAATTATGCTTGGAGATGCGTTGTTACCTTCAACATGTTCTTTCATTGTTGAGGAGTTAAGGCAGACTTCATGTTTTAAGTTAGTGGAAAATTGCATTTCAGGAAATATCTGGTTTGGAACTTCATTTGATGGTATGCTTAAGAGAGGAATTCCATATTATTAATGACTGCAGTATCTTTTCCTTTGTTTGTGTGCTTAATGGGACCAACTACTGTTTCTCTTGTCAACTTGGGTTCTCTGCTTGAGCAGATTGCTAAGTTAGGTTCATTGAGTAGGGGTTCCTCCAAGGCATGGCATGAATAGCATCGTCATGAAATCAACCTAGAGCGTTTTGCAGAACAACTAAGATCATCCGTATCCTAATGTCTAAAAGCTCTTGTGTGAGTATACATAAATTTGTTTCTTCTTTCTGCCTACCAAACAATAATTTTGCACTGCAGATATCTATTTTGCGATCATCATATTGAAGGAGAATCTGATCTGGAGCACAATGCATCTAAACAGATTCAACAAATAAATGCATGTACTAATCTAACTCTAGCCTTTGGTGGCAGCAACTCTCTTTCTCTCTTCTTCACACATAAATGAAAAATTGGATGCTGCAATAGATTGACAGTTTTTATGCAAGTACTGCTACTCAGTGTATACAATATAGGGAAATGCTATGATAATGAAAACAGTAATTTGATTGGAACATCATGCATTTTGCTAGTTGTTAATACAGGATTTAGGAAGTCACTTTAACTAATAGGAAATAAGAATTGGGATTAGGAATTATTGGGAATAAAGCTACACTGAGTTATAAATACACAAGGGCTGAGAGAGATTGCCCACCTCTGTTCTCAAACCTTTTACGACACTTTATAGCTTATTCTCTTCAAATACTCCTCTTTTAGAAGGATATATTTCTGTATAAATGTGGAAAACAAAGCATGACAAACACTTCTTCTCTGGCTAGTTATTCCATTTTGCGGTATCAATACCAGAGTTTATATTAGTTCTGTGGTCCATGTTAAAAAGCAAGAAGGATCTTTTAGGATTTAAGCCTTTCAAATGTCATTTGTGCGCATTGTCTCTTTATGTCCATTTTGTGTTTTAATTGGATTAATTATAAAAAGTGAATTACAAATTGTGAGTTCTATCGGAAGAGCTTTTTTGTTGTAGTACCATCAGGTACAAGATGATGCTAGAGGTTCTCTCTCTTTGAGTTATAAGGCCTTGAAGCTTGAATAAATTCCAACTTAATTTGGAAAACTATTCATGACATCGTTCATGTTTTAGGAAATACTCCACTATCTAAAAACTAAAAAGATTCTCTTGCAAATGTTTCAAAAGAAAATGATATTTGTTTTTTTTATAATACATGTGGTTCCGTGTATTTTAGGCATTAATTCAATTGATGTGGACCTGTAAGAATTTCTTCAACAGGTTAGTCCATTGACACTCACAAGCTCTCATATTTCACTCCTTTATTTAATTAGTCTTTCTTGCTTAAACGTTGTGTCATGTTCTTTGAATTAACTCCAACATTACCTCCTTCCCCAATTAATGCCTTCCTTTAGTTTATTCTACACCTCTTTTTTTTTTTTGATGATCATACATCAACAAGAACCGAAGAAGCCGAAGGCTCCCAATGAGATTCGGTAAGATGCTGCTTTTATACCTTTTTGCCCTTCAAACTTCATCTTTAGACAAACTTTTGTTATTCATTACTTGTATTTGTTTTCCATTTCAATTTCCCCTTACATCATCAACTATTTCAAAGATGAAGACAAATGTGTAGTTGTTTGTACTTCACGCCACTCTATGAAATTATTTCTATGTGGAATCTGTTTGTCGCCAAGTTAAGGTAAACAACTTAGGTGACATTTATTTACAACTTTGAAGAGTTCGACTATTTGGTTATTCTGAAAAGGTGATTGGTACATTACTTTTCTATTTTCTAATTCTGATAACGTAATTGGAAGTTCCTACTAATGTTCAGACCAAAAATATTACTTAATTCATTCAAATTGAAGTAATACTTACAAAATGTATGTATAAAGATAAAACAGATGAACAAGGTTATTGTCGATGATATTGACAGTTGATATGTATGTTTCTTTTGTTTAAATTCAATTTTTTTTAGAAATTTTTAAGCTTGGATGCTATTAAAAGCTAACAGTTACTATGCTTTTCATTGGGAGCTAAAAGGATTTGGTAGTTTCTTTCTAGAAAAAGAAAAAAGAAACATCGATGGTCTTACCTTTCGTAGTTTTTTTAGATAAATATTAGTGTTTTTTAGTGATGAATGTTGAGGTTCAAGAAATAATGTTGTTCCTTCTATGTTTATTCCATATTTAAATCACTATATTGCATTCATAATCATTATATTCTTCTTTGTTGAAATGAATTTACCTTCCATCATGAATTCATGTATTATACTAATTGGCCAAATTTTTCATTAGTTTCACTTTTTTTTACAAAAAAAACCGCATCCACACATAAGCCACTCACAAATACAAACTATTCTTTGTTCTTGAAGAAAAAAAGAAATTCATAGATCATTTAACTACAAGATATAGAATGGCAACACATATTAGCATTTTATAATTGATCATAATATCATTTTATAATTGATCATAATATTTCAAAGCTACTATATATTTAGAATAACTTATATTGCCAAAATATTCAAAACAAAAGTACTATTTATCCTAATAAATATAAGCAATGACAACATAAACAATAACAAGGGAGTGAACCAAATACTAATTATCACGATTCAAGACAATCTTGAAAAAAGTAAAAAACATTTAATATAATGCCAAAAATGGAATTAACTTTCTTTTTTTGGTCAAAGAGGAAAAAATTAATCTTCCAGAGCCACTTGCCGCCGCAATAGCCATCTTCCTGGCTATATTCCCTTGTAAAGTGTCCTTCTTGTCCGCATTTGTAGCATCCCGCTCCTCCTCCACCGCCTCCTTGGCTACATTCCCTTGTGAAAGAAGGAAGGGGCTGCTACAAATGTGGGGAAGAAGGGCATTTTGGAAGGGATTGTAGGCAGAGAGATGGCTATGGGAGGGGCGGAGGTGGCTCTATATCATTTGATTATTCGCATTCTATTACATGTTTTTACTTTTTTCAAGATTGTCAAGAATCATGATAATTAATATTTGGATCACTCTCTTGTTATTTTTTATATTTATTAAAATAAATAGTACTTTTGTTATAAATATTTTTGCAATGTGACTTACTCTAAATGTATGCTGCATGCTTTGAAATATTATGATCAATTATGAAGTGTTAATGTGTGTTGTCATTCCATCTTTCTGTTCTAGATGCATCAAAAATGATTTTGAGATATTTTTCTTAATTCCTTTGTCTTTGTTTTCATTTGTGTTGGAACAATGACCCTGATATGGATAGAGTGGAAAAGATTCAAAGGAATGAGGATAAATATAACACAGCTACTAATTTTGGGGAGCAGCATAATTGATGGATTGATTGGTGATGTTACCATTCTATTTATTTATTGTTTATTTTCGTAGTTGCAATTATGCTTGGAGATGCGTTGTTACCTTCAGCATGTTTTTTCATTGTTGAGGAGTTGAGGCAGACTTCATTATGTTTAAAATGAGTGGAAAATTGCATTTCAGGAAATATCTTGTTTGGAACTTCATTTGTTGGTATGCTTAAGAGAGGAATTCCATATTATTAATGACTGCAGTATATTTTCCTTTGTTTGTGTGCTTAACAGGAGACCAACTACTGTTTCTCTTGTCAACTTGGGTGCTCTGCTTGAGCAGATTGCTAAGTTAGGTTCATTGAGTAGGGGTTCCTCCAAGGCATGGCATGAATAGCATCGTCATGAAATCAACCTAAAGCGTTTTGCAGAACGACTAAGATCATCCGTATCCTAGTGTCTAAAAACTCTCGTGTGAGTATACATAAATTTATTTCTTCTTTCTACCTACCAAACAATAATTTGGCACTGCAGATATCTATTTTGCGATCATCATATTGAAGGAGAATCTGATCTGGAGCACAATGCATCTAAACAGATTCAACAAATAAATGCATGTACTAATCTAACTCTAGCCTTTGGTGGCAGCAACTCTCTTTCTCTCTTCCACACACATAAATGAAAAATTGTATGCTGGAATAGATTGACAGTTTTTATGCAAGTACTGCTACTCAGTGTATACAATATAGGGAAATGCTATGATAATGAAAACAGTAATTTGATTGGAACATCATTCATTTTGCTAGTTGTTAATACAGGATTTAGGAAGTCACTTTAACTAATAGGAAATAAGAATTGGGATTAGGAATTATTGGGAATAAAGCTACACTGAGTTATAAATACACAAGGGCTGAGAGAGATTGCCCACCTCTGTCGCGAAGCGTGGTAGGCCTGCGCCGGGGGAGCATACCATAGGGAGGAAAGGGAGCTCGGACGGTGGAAGAGCCAGGGGAGGCTGGGTCATTTGACGGAAATGGAAGGCTTTTCCCTATTAGAGAAGGCCCTATGGAGTAAGGGGAAGTGGATGAATTCTTGGAAAAAGAGGGAGCTGTTCTCAAACCTTTTACGACACTTTATAGCTTATTCTCTTCAAATATTCCTCTTTCTGAAGGATATATGTCTGTCTAAATGTGGAAAACAAAGCATGACAAACACTTCTTCTCTGGCTAGTTATTCCATTTTGAGGTATCAATATCAGAGTTTATATTAGTTATGTGGTCCATGTTAAAAAGCAAGAAGGATCTTTTAGGGTTTAAGCCTTTCCAGTGTCACTTGTGCGCATTGTCTCTTTATGTCCATTTTATGTTTTAATTGGGTTAATTATAAAAAGTGAATTACGAATTGTGACTTCTATCAGAAGAGCTTTTTTGTTGTAATACCATTAGTTACAAAACGATGCTAGAGGTTCTCTCTCTTTGAGTTATAAGGCCTTGAAGCTTGAATAAATTCCAACTTAATTTGGAAAACTATTCATGACATTATTCATGTTTTAGGAAATACTCCACTATCTAAAAAGATTCTCTTGCAAATGTTTCAAAAGAAAATGATATTTTTTTTTGATAATACAGGTGGTTCCGTGTATTTTGGGAGTTAGTCCAACTTATGTGGACCTGTAAGAATTTCTTCGACATGTAAGTCCATTGACACTCACAAGCTCTCATATTTCACTCCTTGGTTTAATTTGTCTTTCTTGCTTAAATGTTGTGTCATATTCTTTGAATTAACTCCCCCGGTTTAACATTATCTCCTTCCCTAATTAATGCCTTACTTTAGTTTATTCTACCCCTCTCATTTTTATTTTTTTTGATTATACATCAACAAGAACCGGAGGGGATGAAACCGAAGGCTCCCAATGAGATTCGGTAAGATGCTGCTTTTATACCTTTTTGCCCTTCAAACGTCATCTTTAGACAAACTTTTGTTATTCATTACTTGTATTTGTTTTCCATTTCAATTTCCCCTTACATCATCAACTATTTCAAAGATGAAGACACACGTGTAGTTGTTTGTACTTCACGCCACTCTATGAAATTATTTCTATGTGGAATCTGTTTGTCACCAAGTTAAGGTAAACTACTTAGGTGACATTTGTTTACAACTTTGAAAACAGACTTTTCTAACTTAGAGTTCGACTATTTGGTTATTCTGAAAAGGTGATTGGTAATTTTCTAATTCTGATAACGTAATTGGAAGTTCCTACTAATGTTCAGACCAAAAATATAACTTCATTCATTCAAATTAAAGTAATACTTACAAAATGTATGTATAAAGATAAAACAGATGAACAAGGTGATTTTCGATGATATTGACAGTTGATATATGTATGTTTCTTTTGTTTATAAAATTAGAAGTTTTTAAGCTTGGATGCTATTAAAAGCTAACAGTTACTATGCTTTTTATTTGGAGCTAAAAGGATTTGGTAGTTTCTTTCTAGAAAAAGAAAAAAGAAACAATCATGGTCTTACCTTTCTCAGTTTTTTAGATAAATATTAGTTTTTTTTAGTGATGAATGTTGAGGTTCAAGAAATAATGTTGTTCCTTCTATGTTTATTCCATATTTAAATCACTATATTGCATTCATAATCATTATATTCTTCTCTGTTGAAATGAATCTACCTTCCCTCATGAATTCATTTATTATACTAATTGGCCAAATTTTCCATTAGTTTCACTTTTTTACAAAAATACCGCATCCCCACATAAGCCACTCACAAATACAAACTATTCTTTGTTCTTGGATAAAAAAGAAATTCATAGATCATTTAACTACAAGATATGGAATGGCAACACACATTAACATTTTATAATTGATCATAATATTTCAAAGCTACTATAGATTTAGAGTAACTCATATTGCCAAGATATTCAAAACAAAAGTACTACTTATCCTAATAAATATAAGCAATGACAACATAAACAATAACAAGGGAGTGAACCAAATACTAATTATCACGATTCAAGACAATCTTGAAAAAAGTAAAAAACAATTAATATAATGCCAAAAATGGAATTAACTTTCTTTTTTTGGTCAAAGAGGAAAAAGTTAATCTTTCAGAGCCACCTGCCGCCGCAATAGCCATCTTCCTGGCTATATTCCCTTGTAAAGTGTCCCTCTTCGCCGCATTTGTAGCATCCCGCTATTCCTCCACCGCCTCCCTGGCTACATTCCCTTGCGAAAGAAGGAGGGGGCTGCTACAAATGTGGGGAAGAAGGGCATTTTGGAAGGGATTGTAGGCAGAGAGATGGCTATGGGAGGGGCGGAGGTGGCTCTGGAGATTAATATTTCTTCTTTGACCAAAAAAAGAAAATTAATTTGATTTTTCGCATTGTATTAAATGTTTTTACTTTTTTCAAGATTGTCAAGAATCATGACAATTAATATTTGGATCACTCTCTTGTTATTTCTCTTATTTATTAAAATAAATAGTACTTTTCTTATAAATATTTTTGCAATGTGACTTACTCTAAATGTATGTTGCATGCTTTGAAATGTTATAATCAATTATGAAGTGTTAATGTGTGTTGTCATTCCATCTTTATGTTCTAGATGCAAGGTATCTTGTAGTTAAATGATATATGAATTTCTTTTTTTTCTTCAACAAGAAAGAAGAGTATGTATTTGAGAGTGGTTTATGCGGGGATGTTTTTTTTTTTTTTTATAACTTAAAGTGAAATGGATGAAGTTGGTTGACATAGCATGCCCTCTATGGAATCCTCAGCATTCTCTAACATCCAATGGAAGGAGCGGAAACCACACTGGATCATGAATCAGGTGCTGGAATACTTTCTGATTTACTGCCATCTGTAGCTATTTTAGTAGCTTAGTATAGCGATTCCATACATTGGTTTTTTTTACGGAGTTTACATTGCAATAACATTTCTTTTCATAAATGTACTACTGTTAATTGCAAAAAGATGTAATCTCACTTATTCCTGAATAGAGATCTGTATCATGTATCAATTATAGTACTCACATACTCTGTTCCTCTAGCTTATCTCTTTATTATAGAAGCAAATCTTTGGTTGGTATTTCGTGTACACATGCTTGGATTAGTTTCTATGTGGAAATAGTTGCTTGAAAATCTAAATAAAATGAAAAGACACTTCTATTATCTGGTAACTTATAGTTATCCCCCTTTCAGTAGTTAGTAGTAAAGATTTCTAACTCACAAGTCACGGGGTTTGATTTTCTTCAAAAGTGAGTTTTAAAACAGACTCGATGCTGGTGCCACCAAGATGTACTAATTTACCCTTTCACAGGTATTGAGTGGAAAGTTGCGGAGTTGTTCTTGAAGCCCCACTCGCACAATTCTCGTTTAATTATAAGAAGTTAAGTATTTTTGAATGAAGACACTCAATTGGGCAAACATCCGTAAATTCCCTCAGTGACCTTTCTGGCTTTTATTGTTTCTTAAAAATGGAAAATTGTGCCAGGTAAGAGATAGGGGAATTGTATGGTTCGTGTTTTCCGATTCTGTTAACGTCTTGAGGATCTGTTGAGGTGGTCTGCTGCTAAGAACATCATAGTTATGTGAGTAACGATGGAATGTCGTGCTTTCATGCAGTTTTAATCCTTTACACTATAGTTGCACCTGCAAATTTGTGTGTTGCTTGCAAAACAAGCAGTGACCTCCCAATTGGGCAGTGACCAGGGAGGAGGTTCTTCATTGAATTCTTATATTACTTTCTTTGCTACTTCGTATGATGAGAGCATATGTTTTATATGAAAATTGATACTATTTTTTCTCAGATGCTCCTTTTTAGTATCATAATTTTCTTTATACACAACCCTTAGTTCTTTTTAAAATGAGATTTACTTCCTTATAGGACTGTCCTTTTTATTTTCTTATACTTGTGTACTCCTAGTTTGAACTTTAACCCAGTTTCCACTTTCCACCCGGTGTACCTGCTATATATAGATGGATGACAATGGTAAGTTTTAGTTTCTTTGACATGGATTTAATGCATTTTGATGTGCAGATAGTTCTACTCCGTTTGTATTTTGCTTCATTACTTCTTTTGAACGATCTGGTGTCTCATGAGATGGAGTGGTGCTGATGGGAGAAAGATATGGAAACATTTTTGCAAAATGTTGGACTCACCATCTATTTTTTTTTAATGATGCTGCTGTTCATAATTTCTTTTGCCCGACAACTATGATGTTCATAACTTGGAATGGTTGTTTAGTCTAAAGATTGCATGCACTACTCAACTGATAGGCTGGTTGACGGTTTGTGTACATTAATATCTTTTTTGGATGTTCTTTATTTATTGTTTTGTGGTTTTTCTTGTAATTGGTTGAACTGGTATGGCTGTACACAACACAAAATACTGATGCTTACATTTTGTTTCTGCTTTTATTGTAAGATCTTCATGTACATCACTTTCCTGGTGCTTCATTTGCAATAAAATGCTTTCTTTACCTGTACCGCTTCCCCAAGAGGGGTTTTGGTTGTTGAAGGGGGGGGGGGGAGATGATTTTTTTTTTTCTGTTGTTGATCACTACTGTTAGATGATTTGATTATTAACTCTAGCTGAAGTTGACCTGGAACATACATATTGGTACTTAAACTTAAGTACTTTAACTATGGTTTCATATGCTTGCTTTATACCTGCGAAATCAAAATACAGCCATTCCGATGATATGTGTACTTTCCCAAATCCCAGCAAGCTTTGGCTTTAAAAGGAGAGCCTTTGAGCTCTACTTCTAGAGTTCCTTCGTGGGAAATTATTACTAAAACTCATGGGAGCCAGTATTGGAAAGGTTTTGAAGGTAAAGTTCTTTTGAGTTTTAGTTGGTAGTATCCAATAGGATAGGTATGAAACAACTAACCTGGTCTTTATTCCTGCCATTGTTTACAGGATGACAAGTGTTTGTACCTTGGAATTGATGATTTCAGACAAGATGTTGGTACAACAGGTAATTTCTAGGGATTTTTCTTTTTTGCAGTCATTGTTCAGTGATGTATTTTACCACCAACCAGTTCAAAGGAAGCAATTGCACTCCAAGTACTTCTAGCTTTTCAAACTTAAAACAAGAAAAAGAAAATTGATTTATGTACTTTACTAAAGCTGTTCTGTGATCTGATTGCTCTTTTGGTTTGCTATACAATCTGGAAGGCCAAAGAGGGTCTTGCATTCTCTGAAATTGTCTTTTTTAAGAATCGACCTTATGCATCCCAGTGTCTCCTTCAAATTTGTTGATATTGAAAGGTCATCTTTGATACACCAGTAACTTAAGGATATTTCCTGTCTAGTTTTTCCGATCTTGTTCATTTGCATGCAGTAAGGTTTGAGCTTCTTCTTAGACCGTTAACAAATTGAGTGCAAGTGATGGTTAATTCAAGCTTTCAGGATACCTCTCAGGTCCTGATGTTTATACAGTGCAAGTATACAAGCATAGATAAAGTGATGTGATAAGTTATCTTCTGTTCTCTTTGTTTCTTTGACAACCATGGTTTAATTGTCTGGTACTTAGGTTTTTCTGCATCCACTTATTTCAGTATATTGTCTTGACAAAAGAAACAGAAAACTAATTCTTGGTTTAACTTTTACTTTATCGAATGCTTGTTTTTTACAGTGTATTTGTTTTCCTTGACCTTCTTATTGCTGATATCAATTCAAGATTTTTTTCCCAAGGACCAATACATAAATTACTCAGAGCATGTTTGGATTGACTTGTTTTAAGTGCTTTTAAGTACTTTTGGAGTATTTGGAGAATTTCAGAAAGGGCTTATAAGCACTTAATTTTAAGCTAAAATGTTAAAATAAGCCAAAAGTCATCAGTTAGAATTTCTAACTTATGGCTTTTGGCTTCGAAGTTAAAAGTCAAAAGACAATTCAAACTGGCTCTTAATAACACCAACGATGAGTTTCGACAGTACTTCTGAAATAGAGCAGCTATGTAGATATTGATATATCCACTGTTTTTGATGTACCTAAACTGCCCAAGATCTTTATATGTTTAGACGTAGGCATTTAGGATTTAATTTTTTTTGTAGGGTTTTAGTGTGCAGGTCAACTAGTACTACTTATCCGTGAATCGCTCATCTTTATTGTTCAAACCTTACAACAGTTGAAAAGTTGCAGGAGTCAAACTGTTATGATCCTAACAATGTTCCTGCAAATGCTATAGTAAATATTATCATGAAGTGCTCTTGTGGGGATAGTCATGTTTCAAAAGATTATGGACAATTTATAACTTTTCCTCTTTGCACTGACCAGAATTTGGTTACATAGCCAATGAACTTAATCTACCACAGAAGTTGTCGGAAGACTATCCTGAAGCAAATTTCAGCAGGGGAAGTGGTCTGGCTTCTATACTCATATTCTTTGCATATTTTAAGTACAATTAGTCAAGTTCGGATTAGGATTAACAGAATGGTATGCAGAACCATTAAAAGGAAACCTGCTCGTTGTATATTATCGGGAAGGAATAACTTTGCATACTACAATCATAGTTAATTTTCGGATGATTTGACATTATGTCAAAGCTGAGAATTGTCACTTGGATATCCGGTACTATATATGCCAAGTGTTAGCTGATATAGTTTTCTTTTAGATCTCTGTTTCTGAAATTTATTGCAGATCAAAATGGAACTTATCCACTATTAAAAACTTCTATAAGGTATTCCCCAACCCCAGTGAGCTCCTAATCATGCGTATATTGGTAGCTAATTGTTGTTTCTTGCTTTTCACAGCTCAAAAGGTTGGTCTTTACTACTATAATGGCACTGTTTTCAACTTATCAAGTCTGAGGTATCAAAATAGCTCTGAATGTGATTGTAATCTACTAAACACATTGTGTTATTGACTGGAATCCCAGGTGGGGCAATAGCTGGCATACGGGTTGTAGCAGTTCTTGTGGTAGTCCTTTTAGTGTCTTGCATGTATCTTACCTTTTATAGAGGCAGGAAAACGGAAGGAAATTGTCTCTTAACTTGCAATGTTACAAACACAATACTAATAAGAGCATGTTCCTGGTAATTTTATTGATTTCATTCTTACTGATGTATGCTTAATTACCCGTCAAGCTCTATGGTGGAGATTCCTGTTTCTCATTTCTCTTGCCTTGGGAATGAGGAATCATCATCATCTTCATCATAATGACTTGTTAGAGGTATTATTCTTTTTTCCATTTGTTAAAAAAAATATAAGCTTCCTACGATCGATCCTGGAATGATAAAAGTATGTCAACTGTTCTGTGAAAGTAATGTGTTTGGTTCATCCTTAGAATAAACCTTTTAATATCTTTAAATGACTCGGGTCAAGCAAATTTCGAGAATTCTTCAGAAGGGGGACCTCTTAATAACGGTGCTTCTTCAGAGGTCCCGAGGTTTGCTGTGGATAAATCTGTTGAATTTTCATATGATGAACTCGCTAATGCCATTGACAACTTCAGCACATCCTACAAGATTGGCCGAGGTGGTTTTGCATCTGTTTACTATGGAGAGTTACGAGGCGAGGTTCGTTATATTGTTGTTGTTAGATTGAATAATTTACAATTATTCGGATACTCGGATTGATCATCGACCTAGTTCTAGCTGCTTTATTATGTGACTGTTGCACCATTCACATAGTCGTCTTGACTCGGCATGCATTTATTTTCCATAGTCGAAGTTACTCCTGCTTCTAATCTCCTTTGTCTTAATAAAATGCAGAAAGATGGTATCAAGAAGATGGATATGCAATCAACAAAAGAATTCCTTGCTGAATTGAAGGTTTTGGCACATGTTCATCACTTGAACTTGGTAAATTCGTTAATCATACTGGTATACTATCTTTTCCTACTTGATTATATAACCTCTCTGGCACCTGCTCAATTTAGATTGTTCATTATCTTGCAATCATTTTAATTCGTCCACTTTCGATTATCGTACTACATTCTTTTCATAAGTATATCATTTTCACCTTAGTATTAGGTCTAACATTCAAGTTATACACAACACACCAACTATTCACATGAGAAATTATGCACGAGTCATCACATAAATTAGAGTGAATGGAGTGAAACGATGATGATGAAAACTAAACCAAGTAAGCACGATTTAAATCCAAGAAATGAAGATTTTTCTTAAAAGTCACTATAGCCTCTCGAAGATAAGTACAGACGTCTCCATACAGATTCTCAAGACTCTACTTAGACTCGGCTTGTACACACGTGAGACCTACGAACTTGGGGCTCTGATAGAATTTAAAGGAGCTAGAGCTATAAATAAATAAATTAGCGGGATATAGTGTAGCTTTCAGAAGGAGGTGAGAACAAGGATATTTATGCAGTAACGCAGATTGTAAGAGTCAAAGATGTCAAAAAGTGTGGATAATTGAATTCAAAGATATGTGGTTTCATTTGTTTTGCCTAGATTATTATGATAGTTTTACGGGTTCATCATATTGGTTAAAAGTTGTTGGATAAGATTTGAGAAAGAAGTTTTCATACGTTCAACTCGAGTGTGATTATAAGTTTATTTCGTGGTTTTGAGCTTGGTAATGAGTATGATTGCTTTTTTTGTGTGTGTGAAAGATACGATAAGATCAATGGAGAGGCGATCAATTATAAGCTAAGATACGTGAATTCATAAAAATCTTCAAGGTATGAGCTAATGGTAAGCGATAAAGAGATTGAGTTACACAATTGAATTCAAAATTAAAGTTTTTCTTGGTGAGTTTAGGTCTGTGGTAGTGTGCATTGTCAAGTTATGAATTGGTAAAGTATGAAAGGATCGATCACATTAAGTATAAAGCATTTGGAAGGACTTAAAAGTTTAGTAATACAGTTGGTTACTTTTGATTGCTACACCCAAGGGGGATTTCATATAATGTTAAGTTTTTTAGGATAAGGTAAGAATATCATAAGTTGGTGGTCAAAAGATAAGATTGGCAAGCGAGTCAAGCAAAGAGAAAAAGATTTTGGTGTATTAAAGAGTTCAAGGTAGAAAAATGGAGGAACACTACCTCTCGTATAAGCCCTTGGTTTGTAGTGGAAGAATTAATTGATTTTTTACTGTGACATGTGAACTAGTTCGGTATAGACTTACAAAGAAGTTATCATCGACTTTTCTAAAGATTGTGTTTTGGTTGGGTGACACGCAACTAGGTGTAGGAGATTCTATGTGTTTATGTTGAGTTAGATTGTTCAAATTATGATATGTAACTTATTGATGTTGAACAATGTAAGCCTACAGTTTTACACGAGTAATGAGGATTCAAGGGGATTGAAACTACTTTGTTGATGGGATGATACAAACTGTTATGATGTGTTACGTAGGCATTTGATAGTGAGTAGAAGTTATGAGCTTATAGTATACCGAAGTATTGGAGTGACCAAGAATTTCTTAAGTTTTGGTATGATATGATGGTTGTGAATCTTAGTTAATTGAAATTTAGTATCTGAAATATTATGTGATGTTGACATTGTACGTGATTTAATAAACTTTATATTGATTGGAAAAGAAACTTTTATATTTGAAATTAGTGCTATCGGCCTTGGGTGGGATCTGTATCTGTTATGAAATACTTAAATGGACAGAGAGGGAACCATAGTTTGAAAATTTTGGAGGCGATAATGTGTTTGTTAAGAATACTTTAATACTAGGTTTGAGAATAAGGTAAATGGCTGGTATGGCTATGAAGTTCTGTTATTATTAAGAGTATTGACCTTAGTGAAATACTGTAAAGAGCATTTGTGGTTCGATAAAAGAAGTATGTGAGCAATTATAATCGAGACTAAATTGGTGATTGTGGATAGATAGAAAATTAAGAGACAGAGTCATATGAATGAAAATGTTTGATATGGGAACTATGGAAGAAGTATCTAGTGTTATTCGACTTTGGTTCTGTATATTCTTATATAAGCACCTACTTCGTTTTGAAATGATTTGAAGTGAGGTTTGCTACCTATACCCACATATTTTTTCATATCTATGAGTGAATTCCTAGTGGTGGATCGGGTGCGCCGATCCTGTGATTGTACTCTTGGTAGGGTTGAACCCTTGGTTAGACGGTTCATTTTAGTTATGGAAGACTTGGTGTGTTGTTTAAGATAGTGTAAGTAGCTAGTGATTCTACACGCACAACTTTGCTTAAGAACTCATACAAGTGCTACCATGGATACTTACAGTTGTCTGATTGTCTTAATATTCATCTTGTCATTGAGGTCACTTTTCGAATATGTGTGATTGAATGAAGGGAGCATTGGGTTTTAGCTCTACTGTTCTTAAAGGTTGTATACCATAACAACTATTGATCTACCATTTGATGGTGTTGTTATAGGTTCTGTTAGCTTGAGTGTATATAGCTAAGTGCTTACTTCATCTTGTTCTTCTTTGGGTTAGATAAGTTTGATTCTTACTTGATGATTACCCGATGTCTAAAGATCAAATTTTTATAACTTGAGCTCGTGAAAAGCTTGAGTTGTGAAGAAAAAAGATCTTGATAAGATTTGTGATGGTTTGTGCATTATGAGTGTCACGGTTGATTTAAGATTACTTCTGGTTGTAGTCATTATTGATTCAGAAAGTTATCTTGGTTATGTGAGAAAAGATTTGTCATGATGATTGTGCTAAGATCTAATGGATTTGAATTTGAGTTGGGTTTATGAGTTAGTTTATTGCCTGATTATCACTCTTGAGTTATAGATCTATCAAATTGTGACTCAAAAGTTCAGTTCTTAATAGTGAATCTTGATGGAATGGTCTTAAGGAGAAACTCACTTGGAGGGATGAACACCGACTAGTAGCTCATAACATAAGATTTTGGTAACATGGTTAATCTTCCTTCTATTTCTTTATGTTCGAGGACGAACATGATTTTTAGTGGTGGATAATGTAATGACCCGGAAGGTCATTTTTGGGAATTTTCATAAAATTAGCGTTTTACCCCCTTAAAAGTTGCCCCGAGTAATTTTTTTGATTAGCCGGTATATTTTATTTGAAAATTTTGAATTACTTGATAACTACAATTATTTAATTAGTGGTAAGTTTTAAATAATTAACCATTTAAGTTGTTAATGGGTCAAGTCTATAATTTGATAACCCTATACCACTTGGCCCTATATTAAAGGTTATCATGTTAAAGAGAAAATATCATCAATTACTTCTAATTAGAAGCAGTTAGAACACGAAAGTTACAGAGTATTTTTCATGCGTAAGCCGCCGAAACAAAATTCTCATCATAGTCTAGGTAAGATACTTCAATTAAATTTATTCCTAAAGTTATAAAAATATCAATTGGAGGACGAGTAGAAATCATGTGGTGGTCATATACTTAACTACTGCTTCTGGTATTTTCTTGATTTTGCCGTATGAATTTGTATAACAATTTGGTCATGTATGATGACTATAATTATAATTAATTATTGTCCAATAATGATAGTGGGTGGTTTCTGGATGATTAACCATGGAAGAAATATCATTTCCATAACTAATAACTAAAACATTGATATCCTATAACTAGGTCTGTAAATATTATTTTGTAATTTGTTAATTGGGCAAAAACCAAAGGTCGGAAGATGATAATGATGTACGTGTTTGGAAGAAGGTTTTAAACTTGGAAACAAAAGGAAAATATATTATTATTAAAGAAGTTAATGTTCTGTTTATTCTTTTTCTTTTCAAATGAATTTGATGATCCTATTCTTATATAATTAGCATAGCTTTGATACAATATTATCTTTAATTAAATTAAGTGTATTATATTATAGGAAAGCTATTAAGATGGTAGTTTTTGGAGAAATTATGACTTAACTCTATATTTGAAATTAGAAAATATGAGATTTGACCTATTGATTGGAATCAAGATTTAGGAAATTTATTATACCTTTGAGTGAGTGTTGGGTCTAAGTTTGACGTATGAGTGTTGTTAATGTCGAAATTTTATTATGATTATCGATTTGAATAGATTGCCTTGAGTTGGAAGTTCAACGAAAGGGGAAGGCTAAAGTCTTGAAGTGACAGTTCGACTATTTGAGGCAAGTGGATTTCTAAACCCTTGCGAAGTGTATGAAATATGTGTATTTCCTTATGGTATATGTTTTGGAGTAATAAGATTTGGTGAAGGGTTGACTTGTCCACATTGATTAATACTAATGATGAAAAAGGGTAATAAAAGGCAATTTGAATAATTGATTTTTGGGTAATGTGTTCATAATGAAGAATGGTTTGAAAGACTTATTGAGTCATTATTGATGTTGTTGTGAATTGTGCAGTGTTATGAATGTGTTCATAATGAAGAATGGTTTGAAAGGCTTGTTGAGTCATTGTTGATGTTGTTGTGAATTGTGCAGTGTTATGAAAATGGTCATATCCTTTTTATTTGTGTGAACATGTCATTTGCATTATTTTAAGACATGATTGTAACAAGTGTTACATGCATTGAGAAAGAATGAGAACTTAAAGAGGATGTACCATTTAGAGGGACATATCACGCGCCGCGATGGATACTATATTTCGAGGGACGTATCGCGCGCCGCGATGGTTACTATTATCGAGAGTCGTCTCGTGTGCCGTGACAGATGCATGGACAGATAAGTCCCTTATGGGTCCCGGACTGAGAGACAGTGGGTGTGTATCACTAGGTCAGACATGCATCATTATACTTGACATTACATTCCATTACACTGCACATACTTATCATTAGTGAACTTGATATTGTGTTTTGCTGATCTAATGATTGCCTTTTTGCGGAACTTGTGATTGTTGAATACTAAGCTTGTCATTGAGGATATCTAATTTGTCTAAGTGTTTTTGTTGAGTTACGTTTTATGTAAACTGTGAGCTGTTAGGTTGGGTTGATTTTAATGCAGGTTGTAGTTGTGGAGGTTCGGTTGGGAGTGGTAGGAGTACCCGTATTTCATCCCCTTAGCTTGTGTTTAGAGGTTTACTTGCTGAGTACCGTGTGGTTTGGTACTCACCCCTTGCTTCTACAAATTTTTGTAGGGTATGAGCCTGGATTTTTGTTGTAGTTGTCACTCTTCTTTTCCGAGACTTCTTGGAGATTTGTGAGGTAGCTGTTTCCATCTCAGCATACTTTCTTCTCCATAATTGTGATCTTGTTCTATTTTAGAAACAAATTCATTTGAGACTTGAGTTTTTCTTTTGAATCAATTGTAATACTTTAGAGGTTTGTACACGTGACTATCAGGTTTTGGGGTTTTTATTAAGTTACTTAAATTTTATTTCCGCACTTTATTGTAATGGTTGAGTTTAGGCTGACTTGTCTTGGTGGGATAAGTCGAGTGTCATCACGTCCATTTTCGGGTCATGACAAAATATTCATTCACCCCATATGTCATAAAGATTACGAGATACTATTTCACGTGTTGAAACAATTGCAGGTACGTTTAATAGGATATTGCATTGAAGGATCCTTGTTCTTACTTCTTAGTATATGGGTTCATTGAAAATGGAAACCTAAGCCACCATTTGCGCCATTTTAAGTATGGTTTCGTATGCTTGCTTTTACACCAGCGACATCAAAATACAGCCATTAAGATGATATGCATGCTTTCTCAAGTCTCAACAAGCTTTGGCTAAAGGAGAGGGCACAGAGCTCTATTTTCTGATGTTTCTTTGTTGGAAATTGTTACTAAAAGCCCTAATGAATATCATAAGGTTTTGAATGTAAAGTTCTTTTGAGTTTTAGTTGGTAGTATCCATTAGGATAGGTATGAAACTACTGACTTGGTCTTGGTCGTTGTCATTGTTTACAAGACGACAAAGTGTTTGTACCTTGAAATTGCTGATTGTAGACCAGATGTTGGTACAACAGGTAATTCTGTGCCAACCTCCTACCTGATACATGAGTTGACTTCTGTTTGCTAATAAGGAATTCTTGGGATTTTTCTCTTTGCTATCATTGTTCGTGATGTATTTCACCACCAACCAAATTGAAGAAAGAAAATGCACAATAAGTGCTTCTAGTTTTCTCACAATTCAAACAAACAAAAAATATTGGTTTACATACTTCATTTCTAAATTTGTACTCTGTTCTGATTGATCTTTTGGTTTGCATACATAATCTGGAAGGTCAAAAGTCTTTGCATTAAGCGGCTCTACGCAGAGAATCACCCTTGTGCATCTCATTGGGTTTGGAATTCATCTGAGTTCCCTTAACAAATTGAATGCAAGTGGTGGTTCATCCAAGCTCTCAAGATACATTTGAGGTCATGATGTTTACACAGTCAAGGTATACAGGGCCCAAATTGATGTATAAGATAAGTATCTTTTCTACACTTCCGTCTCCCTAACAATCACTATTTGATTTACAGGGGCATATAGTGCATATTTATTGTGTGTACATGGGTAATGCTTGAATAATGTTTATGTCCTGGGTGTTGAGAGTTGCTCTGTGAGACGTCTTATGTGTGACGTCTTAAAGAGTTCTTTTAAAATGAAATACTTGATTGGAGACACAGTTTACAATTATAGGAAAAGACGATAAAAAAGAAGAAAGAAGAGATAAAGCGATGTACAAAAGCACAAAGTTGGGGGGGGTAAAGCTATAGTATTATGGCCATGAACAGGAACAGAATAAGAAAGACGAGTGTTTTTGTTGTTAAAAGGAATAATAGTACGATAGTCACGCATGCCCCAAAAATCCAACAAAACATTGTTTTATGGCTCACATGTTAACCCAATTTGGAAATGAGACAGCACTTTCCTTTACCCTCAAGTAAACTCAACACTCTTTTCGTACAAATCCAACTATCAAATGTTTCAATTATTTCTAGGTCTATATATATCATATGTCTTTCCATAAAGTAGTTATGTGCTTTATTGCGTCCTTGAAGAACTATAGGAAAAAAGAGAGCCCCCCTTTCAATTCGAGGAACCTTTCAAATTAGTAACGAAGTCAGAAATTTTAGTAACGTCTCTTTTCTTTTGGGCCATAGTCACTAGTTTGCTTCCCAGAAGAGCAAATTGAGAGAAGAGCAGCAATTATTGAATGTTGTGTCTTAAAATTTGTCTCATCTTGGTTATGAGTTGTTTATGATAGAGAGCAATTTTAATTTTGTCCGTTTAAAGTAAGTGAAAAGAAATCCTAAAATCGAAGAGGGTGATGTATCAAAGTGAGATTGAATGAGTAAAAGTGCAAGTGGCAGTGAATAATGCAAAATATAGCAGAGAAACTGAACTACTGCTACTTATGTCTTAATAATCCCAAGACATAACTATTTAAGACCTTTTGTCTTTCCTTCTGTATTTCTGCATAGATTTAATTATGCTACTTCTCTTTATTTCTATCTTGTATGATATTTGATCATTTGAGAATTACTTAAATTTGAACTTATTTGAAATCAAGGCGTGACTAAAGTATAAGAAAAATAAAAAAGATTTTGGAGAACTTGCAAATATTTTTTGGACAACAGAAAGTAGAAACCCTCGAACATGTTTAAGCATAAGATAAAATTGATTCTTCAGTCGATCATCTCTGTCTCCACCTACCCAACATCGGGTGAGACGGGCCCTGCTCTAATACCATGTTAAATTAGGTCTTAGGCCTAACTCACACCCCAAAAGCTAACTCAAAGAGAGGAGGATTGCCCAAGATCACCGATGTGGGACTTTTGTCATTATTTAAAATTCTTCTATTATTAGGTCCCTTGTGGGTTCTGAATAAATTAAAATGTAACTTATGGAATTCTTGTTTGATACGTATTATACGGATCTAACCACCAGCCCTCCTTGACAACAACGATCAGATCAGGCAAATTGATATTATTTTCAATTTATTTTTAGAACTCTGGATATCAAAAAATCTCTACTCTCACGATAAAATAAAAATTCATATAGCAAATTGACTATATCCTTTTTTTTTAATCAGATTATTATTTTGTTTTGAGGAATTTCAATTTTCATTTAACCGACAGATTGAAAGAGGAGCTTGAGGGAAATATCCCAAGGGCAGTATATTGTTTTGTGAGAAAGCTATAGTTTGTAAATGAGTGGGAATAAATTGTACTCACTAGCAATTTCTTCTTCATAACATATGGGTTGTGTAACTAATTATTAATTATCGAAAGGGAAATATGACTGACCATAGTGTTTTCTGATTGCAGTCAGAGTTGGTAAATTTTTTCCTTTTTTTCTGAACATAGTTAATCATTAAAGCAATTTTACTGGATGCTTCCAATCAGGTCAGTTTTTTTAACCTACCGACATGCAGAGTCCTGACATGAGAATGCAATATTTTTTTTCTATGTGAGATTACAATTGTATATTACTATACTACTATCATATTTTAAACCATGGTGCCATATTAAATAGTCTGTCTTGGCACAATATTATTTAAAATGGTTAAAAATAAATTGATTGTAATTTAAAAATTATAGGAATTATAATACTTTTTATATAGTAATTATATGTAAAATTTGCTTTTATAATGTGAAGGTTATGTACCAAATCACATCGATAATTTTATCAGAATGTCACTTAAAATGAAAAGTATAATTCTATCGCGAATTGCCTAGTTAAATATTTTCTTGTAAGAACTAATCGTACTTTATAACCTTGATTTTCTTTTGACTTAAAAACCCAAATATATCAACTGGAATATTAGAGTGTTCAAAGCCTAATAGGTATAAATGTTAACAAAAAGTATAATTCTATCGCGAATTGCCCAGGCAGCGATTTGCTTTATAGTTTTTTCTTTTTTCTAATTTCTAATAAATAATTTTTTTTAAAAAAAGACTAATAAAAAATAGTTTTAAAAAATCTTATATTGTAAATCGCTGCCATGGCAACGATTTCATTTAAAAAAGAAATCATTAAATTTAGCAAATCGCTGATGTTGCAGCAATTTTGCTTTTTTAGACGAGTAAAATCGCTGTTCCACCAGCTATTTTCGCCATTTTGGTTAAATTTAAAATTTAAATATCATTTTAAATTTTTTGTTAACATTTTATAGTATAATTTTTTATTAAGACTTGTTGTATGACGAGATATCATATAGTATAATTTTTTATTATGACCAAAAAAATGCACAGCCACTAAGAGCTGAATCAGTATCGAATGGGTAAGGAAGACTTCGATCTGTTCAATTTAAATTCAAAACCGGTTAAAAAAACTACATCAGTAGGGTTGGACTCATCATCCCAAATCGAAAATGAAGGGTGTGGTATCATATAGTATAATTTAATCAGACAAGATTTGATCAAAAAATAAGATGATATATTTGGTTCCTTTCCCAGCCTTTATTAATTTCTAAACTCTGATCTTTTTTTGTCCCTTACTATCTTCACCTTCAGCAGGAAAAGTCTTAATTGTTGATTTATTCTTTTCCTTTTTGGCACAAAAGTTACTTTGTATTACATACTCATAAGCAACTTTGTTCCCCCATCCTATAGATATGCTTAATACTAGGTTACTCAACCCGCAATCAAATATGATTGATATATAATAATGTAAAGTATTCAATTCCTCACTAGATTGACGCAAGTTTGTTTATATTTTCATAATAAGGGTCAACATCAATTTCTAGTTAAAAATATTACCAACTTTAATTTGTGTCATTTTCAATTCTCCCTACCAATTACCCTCTCAATCAAGCTCTTTACACTGACTTTATCTAATCCTACTTACATTTTTTATATATATGTACTTTTTCTGTTTAAAATAGAATGACTCAATTTTTATTTTAGTCTGTTTAATAAAGAATAACTCATTTCATTTTTTGGCAATACCTTAATTTCAATTTTATACGTGATATGTTTAAGGTTATAAGATTAAAAATATTTTGATATAATTTTAATTTAAAACTATAAAATTAAAAAAATTCTTTTTTTTCTTAAATTTCGTTCTAAACCGATCTATTTCATTCATTTTGAAACGTAATTTATTGTACTTTTTAGTTTCCCAATTATCCATTGTAAGTCTTGATCAATTCATATAATTGGGGCTAGCTGGCGTATATAGTACGATTAATTATAGGTAGCATTGCTGTAATACTACGTATGTACTTTTTAATTTGGCATTGACAAATTGGCCGATTTAGTCGTTATAGTTTGGCCAACGTCACTTTTAATCTGATTTTGGACTGCAGCCCCTATATATTTATCATCATTTATAATAATAATAATGTAATCCTCTATTATAAAGTAAAAAACAAGGTACTGAAAACTACAAATAACTAAACGTCAAGAGGAAAAGAAAAGTTGAATACGGAATCCAATTCATTAGCTTTTTATCGATGCATATGATAAAGGTGCCAGAAATAAAAATAGGGCCGGGTCGGTTGAACTTGCGGCTCTGGATCGAACCAAAACTCGTCTATTCTTATACGATTTAGTTTAACTGAATATCGTATTTTTCTAAAAAATCACAATATAATTTTAAATATGCAGTTATGAAAAAAAAAATGTAAAATTTGAAATAGAGGAGTAATTGTATATTCAAATGAATGATGAGTAGCTGGGGATAACTGTGTAGTGGCCATCATTGATCTGGCAACTATAAATCACGTCTACAACATATAGCTTGACCTAAGAATAACTAAATGGCATATCATCTGTCTCTTTTTATTTACTCACTCCTACTCCTAGCTTCTTATTGATTTTCCCCACCCTCTTAATTCCTCGTTCATACTGCATAGCAAACAGGGACTTTTTTGAGTTTTATATACCCTATGTACATCAATGCATAAATATTCCGCGTTTAATGTATGTGACATTATTTGACTTAACAGAAAATTTAAGAAAGAAAGAAAATTTTTTGAAATTTTTGACCTAGAAAAATCTTAAATATTTATGTGACTAATTATCTAATTATAGAAAGACGATATTTTTTTTTAGACAAACTATCGTAACAGAACCCTACTACTTCCCTTACTCTCTTGTGCTTTCCTTTGATCATAAAATATCCTCTCAATATATTACTTCATTTGTTTCTGTTTATATGACTTTTTTTTTAACTCATTTTAAATGACATTTTTATATATCGTTCTTTTTTAAAATTTTATATCTAGTTAAATATAGTTTCTCACAAATAATTGAGAGTGAAACAGTAGTACACGCAAGAAACAGGTATATACAAAGAGTTTGGAGGTTTGTAACCACTAAAACGTGTTGAAATCTTTGGTCCCAAAATTTGTAAAAACTCATGTCTCCTTTAATATATTGCCTCAAAAGTATTAATTTAAACTCATGATAAAAATGCATATATTTGACATAGGCAGAGGGAAAAAATAAACCTAATTATACGTCTTTTATTTAATTAATTTAGTTAAATTTAAGTCATAATTATGCATATGTGAGTTGTTGGTCCGTGCAAAATCTCTCTGCAATACAAAATGTAGTGTGGTCCTTGATCTACATATATTGAGTGGGCATTGTAAACAAAATGATCAGTTTGGTCCCTCCTCTTTAAGGGAAAGTCTTCTCCTCTCCCTTTCATCTATGTACCTAATTTCATGTTATTTTAATTTCTTCCACTAATAAATTGAACATTATACTTGTCTGTTCCTTTTCTTCTAATTATTATGAGTTAGAAAGCAAATTAATCTATATGATCTTCATGAAACTATAGCTCGGACAAGAATTAAACTATTCTTTTCGATTCAATTTATGTGTGATGTTTAAGCAGGGGTACTGACATTATATAGACAATCCTTCCACTTTTGAATTGAGTTCGATTATTTTTTTTAGTTGATTTTGACTCAATATCTATTTAATTACATGGTATTTCTTCGGTTTGAATGTCTGTATGGGTGGTCATGAAGATGATATCCCACATCAGTGAGGGATAAGATATTTGTACTCCTTGGATATGCCTCCTTCAGTCGAGCTAGTTTTTGAAACATAAGATATTTTATGTAAAATATTTTATAGAATAAATTAAATAGAAATATATGAGAAATAAAATAATACTATCGTTTATTCATATCTTATTAAAAAGCTTGACAAATGTAAACCTAACCATGAAAATATTTTAAAAGATAATTAGATGTAACTTGAAAAATAAGAGAATTGAGATACTTAATATAGAAACAAATTATTTAGAGTTAGTGATAGATATTGGTGAGACATTTAATTAATGAGAATGGCAAGGCGTGCTTCAGTCGACCCATGTGATATATACGAATTCAACCTTTTGTTGTTGTCGATAAAGCATCGACCCCAACTTTTCTCTCTACGTGAATAAATGGTCCCCAACATTTCTTTTATTCTATCGTCAAAAGATAAAATTTAATTCATAATCGAAATTCCTTTTACTAATTAAGGAATTGTTTCTAACTGCTAATTAAACTTACTTCCTATTTTTGGAAAAATATTAGCAAAGAATTAGCCATGATAGATTAGCATGCGTGATGAGCATTTGATAAGAAAATTGACGGGCACAAAAACTAACACTTTCCCCTTTTCAATTTATTTTTGTTACATAAAATTCAATTTAAACTTTGTATCAAGTTAAAATCAAAACATTTAAGCATAGGACATAATAATTGTACTTTCTTTGTCCCAATTTATATGACATCTTTTATGTTTTGAGAGTCAAAGAGTTTAAATTTGATCGAAAATTTGCACATAGAACTTTCAATTTTTTTTAAATGAAACTTATGAATTTATAAACTACGTAAAAAATACTATGAATCATGATAATGAATAATTCAAAATATTTATATGATCTATAAAAAATTTACGGTCCAAGATAAACTCTTGACATATAAAATGGAACGTATGTATTAGATATGCCTAAATTGTACGTGGCAAGCTGTGGTCCATTGCTTTCTAATATGTAAATGGTCGGTTGGAGTCCAGCATCTTCTCTCTTGCTAAAAAATCAAAATTTCCATATATTGTTTCTTCTCTGAAATCAAAGAGAATTTCTTCTTTGCAACTGTTTGCTGAATTGAGTAAGTCTGTTTACTCTGCTATATACTGCTACTAAAATTCTAGGGTTTTCATGCTTTTAACTACCTTCATATCATCATTTTTTTTCACTTTCCTAATTAGAACCAAATTTATACAAAGAAAGTATTATATTATCTTATCTAAGTGTTTATAACACTAGCAAAAATTTCATGATTTTCATTTTCTCATGGATATATATATATATACCTGCCTTAATTTTCTTTTAATGAGTATCAACATCGCAAGTTTTGCTTGATACTCAATACTTATTTGAGATTACAAGTCTTAATTGTGTATACTAAATTGTTTTTTTTTTTGGTATGAAACAGAAATCGGGGAAGAAGGCAGTTTAGTGTGAGTGAAAAGGTGTTTTTTGGGTGAATTATGAGATGATTACAAGAGAAGAGAAGGGGAACGTTGTGAATGATGATGGAAATAAGAGTAAGGCATGTACAACGTCTACTTCAACAACGTCATGGACAAGGTTAAAGGATCCAAGAATAGTTCGCGTTTCGAGAGCATTTGGAGGAAAAGACAGGCACAGTAAAGTTTGTACAGTAAGAGGGCTAAGAGATCGTCGTGTAAGGCTTTCAGTTCCTACTGCTATTCAATTATATGATCTTCAAGACAGATTAGGGCTTAATCAACCAAGTAAAGTTGTTGACTGGTTGCTTGATGCAGCTAAAAATGAAATCGATGAATTGCCTCCCTTGCAAATTCCTCCTGGAAGTTTGAACCCTAATCTTTATCCTATGTTAGGTAATGCTCCTCAAATTACTACTAATAAAGAAGGTCGCATTAATTGGGATAATAACATTCCATTGGAACCACCTAATAATAATGCTTTGGGCTACAATCCCAATTTTTTTAAATGGGATCCTTCAAATTTATCCTTAGCTCATTCAGAAAATTCATTATCTCATCAACATGATCATCATCAAAACTTCAATTTGATGTCTAGTATGCCATTAACTTCACATCATCAACCTGTTGTTTATCCACCAGGATTGCCTCAATTTTTCCATCAACATAATAATAATATTAATGTTGGAGCATCGTCGTCATCAGAATTTGATCCCAAAGAAATCAACTTCCAAATGTTGAGTAACAATTCCGGTTCAGAAAATCCCTTGTCAACTAGTACTAATTCCTTTAGACATTCTATTGACTCCACAAACCAATCTATAAGACCTTTCCATTTTCTGCCTTCTCAAAATTGTGATGACACGGAGCCTTCCAATTAAGATCATTTACTTCCTCTCTGCTCTTTATAACAACTTAAGTTTTTACACAAAGTATCGTATTGGTCATATAATTTCAACATGATAACAGAGCAGATCAACATATTATTGGTTGATCGGATGTTTCATTAAGCTATTCCACTTTCAAGATCAGAGCAAGTTATCAACTGTATGTTCCCCGGTGAGTACTGAATAATTTGATACTAGTATATATATATATATATATATATAACAACAATTGTATGTTCTTTTGGTCATAATTATTCCTATAGCTACAAGACTCGTGATTGGATTGTTTGGGATGCTTCAATGTACTCCAATTTCAAAATGTATTATGCTATATAAAGTTGTACGTACGGTTATTAAGAGACAATATAATATATATATTTTTGGCATCACAATGAAGCAGTTAATTAGTTATGGTTTTATGCAACATTTTCTAAATGCATAACCCTAGCAAGGAGCCCTAAGCTAGTCATGGATCCTTCTTTTTTAAAAATTTCAGCATTTTGATCTTTTAGATGAGTTTATGTTTTGTGCGCTGATAACTTAAATAATTTTTTTTATGTGTGAGGTTAAGTTGACCAGTGATAGAGCTAAAAATGATGAAAGGGTTCAATTGAATCTCCTCCGTGAAAATTGTATGTTGTATATAAGTAAGAAGAGTAACTTTTTTTTGTCTTAAGTATAAATTGTTGAAACCCCCTACTTAATTTTTTTCTTTTCATTCAGCTGAAGTTAACTTGCTACATAATTGATAATTCTCTATACCAATCTGGCTAAATTGTACTGTTATTTTAAAATGAGTTTATCTTGACCATATATTCTTCAATTATGTATACATCTTCTACATTTAGAATTTAGATTGTTAACTGTTATAATTTATGCTTTCGATAATATGACTATGTAAATTTCATCATATCAAATAATAAAATTTGAAGATTATATGTTTAAATTCACCGCAAAAATTAGTCAGTTTGACCCTCGTACTCCAAACCACAGATATGGTATAGACTAGTTGTTGTTGGTGAAGAGAAGTAAAGATGTATAGGGATAAGAGTAGATTTAGTACAAAATGGAAGGGTGTTCGTTAAGTTGGAAAGAGACAGATGATAGATTGAGATTTGAAGTATATAAATAAATACTACTACTAGTATATGTTATTTTTCCTTGGGATCCAACAAAAAATATACATGTTGTAAGCTTAAAATGGAGTGAAATGAGAAGATAGTTTTGTGGTCCTGTTAGTAATTCATGAAAAGGATATGACTAAAGAAGATGAAGAGATGACTGAAGAAGTGTGGTACAAAAAGATAATTAGGGTTTTGGAAGCTTTTTCCATCTTTTATTTTTATCTGTGTACGTAACAAAAGAAAAGAAAAAAAGGACCACATGCATGCATTGCTTTCATATAGGTAGGTCCCCAGTTGCATATTTGCTTCTCCATATAATATTAATAAATCCAATTTTCTTTTAGGGTTTAGTCACCTTTCAATTGACTCAATTTTTTCATTTATATCTCATCGAGTGTTCAATATCAGTATCGAGTCTGAGTATTCTAGAGTTATATATACTACGTAGGACCTCATTCGGAGTTTGGAAAGGGATCTTTTTATACTCATGACTTAATTTAAGATCTATAATTAAAAGAGATTTAGTCTCGTTCATAGTTCACTTGGATACTTTAGTTTCAAACAAGTTTAATGGATTTGGATTATAATGTATGAATCATATACGAGACTATATGATAACAAGATTATTTAATAGATTTATTTTATTTTATATCCGATAATCTTAAATACACTTTTATTTTTAGTTGGGAAAAAAATATTTTTATATTTTGATTGTTTTATCTCGGGATTAGATAATCTTGGTTTTGGGAAAAGAGATTCCAAGTTAGTTATATTAAAATAAAGATTCAATCAAACAAAAAATAAAATAGTTTCATATTTTATTCCTGTATATAAAACAATCACAATTTTTTATTTTATTTTCTCTTTAGAAATTATGTCTGCTCAAATGTCATATATACAGTATCACATATCGTCTTTTTTTTCTTATTTTGGCTGTTGCTTCTAATATAGATGTCTGCGTGTATTAGATTTTGAAATTTATCTCAATTCATATGACATTGTAAATATTAAAATTTAGATAAATTTATTTTAAAAAATATATGTATAGGACTTATATAGCATCTTTTTACAATAATAATGTACTTATTACTAAACTAGTACTTTATTTATCCTTTAGCTACCTAACCCTAGCTCTCTTTTCAACTGTAATAATACTAATACAACAGTACAATATTGTTAACAAATTAAAAACATCGAAATTTATTACTAGCACTAGTCTATGATCCAGGGTTAGTTGATGCTAGCTAGGAGTAATAAAAATACTATCGTCTCTATCTTATTGATTATTAGTTACCCTATAAGGGGTGATTAATGCTAAATATATACTTCATCCATCCATTTTTATGTGTTATTTCATAAATATAAGAAGTCTAATATTTTCAAAATGAATTGTAGTACGTAATAAAATAGGAATTAAATGGTCTTAATTTTTAAAATTGGACGAGTAAAAAAAATGACATCATTCATATTTACTTGTCCATATCCTTTTATATTGTTCCCTATTTACTTGTCCATTTTAACAAATCAAGAAAGAACAATAATTTTTTTCCTAATATGCCCTTATTTAATTATAAAAATTTCTAATACTACTGAGTTGTAATGTATGCTTTTTGGAACGAGAGTTAAGGGTAAAATTATAACTAACCTATGATAAGATTGATGCATTAATATGTGTGTCACTTCTAAAATAGACAACTAAATAGAGAGAAAGGGAGTATAATTTTGAGATAAGGCATAAAAACTAGAGTCCGAAGCCTATAAGGTAAAAAAAATATTAAAAATTTCAAAGGGGTACATCAAATTTTTTTTAATCAAAAGGGAAAAATCGCTACTGACGCAGCGATTTTATTTTCACGCCGTTAAGTTTCTAAATCGCTGACCTACCAGTGATTTTGTTCATATTTTTTTCCCTTTTTTTTATAAAAGAAAATCGCTGCCTAGTGATTTTTTTTGGGGGGAAACATTGCTGTCTCAGCAGCGATTTGTGTGGAAATATATTTTTCATTTTTTAAAAAACAAAGTCACTGCCTTGGCATCTATTAACGTAAACTACTTTTTTTTTAAAATATAGCTGCCAATTATTTTTGAAAAAATTATTTAATGTTGGGGATTTTTTGAAAATAATTAAAATCAGTCTTTTTATAAAAAAAAAAGTTGTTTCTTTTTAATTAAAAAAATCACTACTAGTAAATTTTTCTTTTTACAAGTATCGTTGTCAATTTTTTTAAAAGAAAAGTCGTATTAAATATTGGTGATTTTTTTTTAATTTTGATCAAAATAAAAATCGTATTACAGTTTTTAGTAAAAAATTCACTAAATGATCCTTTTTTTTAAAAAAAAAAACATTTTTTAGAAATCACAGCAATTGCAGCATTTATATATATTAAAAAACAGCATTTTAGTGAAAAAATTTTCTTGACAGCAATTTTTGTGATTTCTTTTATTATTAAAAAAAATTAAATAGTGCCAATTTTTTTTAAAAAATTGTAAAATTATTTTTTAAACACCAACCTTGAATAAGAATTTTTTAAAAAAAATTGGCAGCAATATTTTAAAAATTAGTTAACTAAAATAGCTACCAAGATTTTAAAAAAAATCCACATAAATCGTTGACTTGGGAGCGATTTTCTATAAAGAAAAATAGTTTTCCACTTAAATCGTTGCCTAGACAAAAAAAAAGAGATTTCAACAAAAACACTGTAGTCTCAGCGATTTTGGTTTTATAAAAAGAAAAATTTTGAAAAAAAGAATTCGCCAAAATCTCTAGGTCAACGATTTTGAACTTTTAACTTAACGACGTGTAAATACAATCGCTACGTCAATACAATTTTGCCCCTATGATTAAGTCTTTTTTTGATATATACCTTTAGAATTTTTGACATTTTTTTTTCTTTAGACTTCTGGCTCACAAGAACTATATGAACTTAATTTTTTAGTATATTTTCACACCTCTGAACTATACGAGGAGCTTATTACTTCCCCTGAAGTAACTTAAGAGGGGTGGGGGTTACAAGAGTCTCGTATACTTTAGGTGTGTAACTGTTCAAGAATACATTTATACTTCATACATCCCTACATTTCTAATAGTCTGTGTTATATATATTGGTGGTCTAAGAATTTATTTATCGGTTGATGTATAGTATGTAATCACTTTACTACAATAACTTTTTTTAAAAAAAGTAATTACTTTAATACAAATCACACATTTTAAAAAGAAAGTTTACTATAGATATATTTTAAATGACCTGACAATGTGCAAAAACTCTTCACGCTATAATAATTCCAGAAGAAACAAGAAAATGATAAAAACAAAAGATCCAAACTGTCTCAGCTGCTTCAACCTTTGTAAACACATAATTTGAAAAATATCGTAATTTCATATGGATTTTATCTTTATATATACTAAAACATAAAAAGTAAATGGAAAAAACTTATTCGCATCGGATACTTACATTCAATTTCTATTTTATTAATTTAATGAAGTAAAACACATATTAATTATTAAGTGAAATAAAATAAACTATAAATATAAAGACATAATATACATATATGAAATTAATATAAACACTCGATATAAATAAATTTTATCACAGATGAATATAGCTCAATAGTTGTAGGTGCTGCCTACTTATTTATATTTGAAGTTACTAACGGCATTAATAACTGATGATATAAATAGTCATATTTAATTGCATTTATATGATCATGATTTATGAGGGCATAATTATTTCAAGAAATTAAATATTTCTTAAATGCCAAACAAAATCTAAGTAGCTCCGCCTTCTTTGATAAATACTCCTTACGTTTAATTTTACTTATCCCATTTTATTTTATAAAAAGTTAATTTGATCAATTTTGAAATTTAATTAAACAAAATTAATTTAATATTTTGAAGTTTTGATATTTTAAAATTATGCAAAAAGAAAAATATTATAAGTTAAAATCTTTTTTCATATTAATATATATAATATAAAATGTTGATAAAAATTCATATAACTTGAGAAGTGAAACAAAAATGAATTAAAAATATATAAATGTCAAATGAATAAGTTGGAATATGTATTTAGACATGTTAAAATAAGTCAAATTAAAAACAATGTGGTGGATTACGACCATTCCGATGTTAGCCTAATTGGATCAAATAGGCAAATCAACCTCAAGCTAGCTAAACTATGAGTTGTAATTCAATCATCAGCTAAATGTACAGCTTATATAAAATCATTTTTCCAATTTGATGTTTATTTGTTCCTTTATAATTTGACTAA